TCTCGAACTATTTTTAGACCAATGTAGAGAAAATAAATCTTTATACTTACCTGGAAGGTCACGTGCAGGTAAATATAACGTATTATTTTTTTCTATATTGTTAGATCTCAGCCAATCAGAGAGATAGAAATTATTCAATCATATAATAAACACAAACAGACGAAGTGCAATATAATTTTCGCGCATGCAATATTTACCTGTCAGTCTTATCTTTTTTTCACAACAAAAAAAAAGTTCGAAAGACTTATAGTTATTGAACATCCTGAAAATACTATACACATGTAAATTGTTAGTTTGTCAAGATCAATTACCGGTATTCGTAATCCCAAATCCAAATCAGGATTTCCCTGCTGTCTTGTTCATCGTAACAGTAAGAATATGTGGTGTTGTTGAGAAATGTTTGAGTCTTTCCTTCCTAGGCCCATAGGAAGCAATTTCACTTTGAGGGGGCACAACCATACATTTTCAGTTGGGGGGGGGGGGGCAATATCAACTACCAAAATTCCTTGACAAGCAAAAAAGAAAAAAAAAAGAAAAAAAGGTCATCAGACGTTATTATTGAGGGGGCACAAACACATAATAGCTATGTTTTCTATAGTATTCTATATATCGGCAAAATTATTGGGCCCTCCCTGTGCCCTCCCCCCCCCCCGGTTCCTACGGCCATGCTTCCTTCTCTTCACATTTGTTTTCAAAATCTTTTACAAATAAAAAGTCAACCACGAAAAAAGGTTTGATTGACTATAGTGTTAAATCTTTTTTTAAATTATTTTTCTTCCAAGTTGTTTGTTCTTTAAGTTAGTTTTCTGTGTTTAATTTATGCGTTTGGGATTTTTACTTTTTATCATTCATTCTTATACTTTTTCATTCTCATATATTTTTTTTTTTAGTTTCAGACCTGGCAAAATGGGGAGTATGAACGCTACTATGCTATTGGAAGGAAACGAAGAAAGAATAAGTCGGCTTCCTTTTGATATCCCCGTGCTTGTCTTATCAATTCTAGGGGTTATTGGAAACTCCATAGTTATACATGTCTTTCGGAAATATTATGTGGAAGACTCAACCTATCGAATTTTCGTTTTCTTTCTATCTTTCTGTGATTTGTCAATCTGTATTGCTCATATAGCCAAAGAATTTGAAAAAATTTACTTTGTCATGCAGACCACTAAATTTGTTGAAGTTTGCAAAATTTCGAATTTCCTCGGATTTGTTGTTGGCGCTTCGTCGTTCTATGTTATTTTTGTAATCGCCGTTGAGAGGTATCGCAGAATATGTCATCCTTTTGGAAAGCAGATTTCGGTATCTTCTGCAAAATGGTTCTGTCTCCTTTCAGTAATTATATCAATAGTTTTGGCAGTACCTATTCTTTTCATATTTGGGTTTCAAATATATACAGTGGATGGAAGAATCACAACACGATGTTCAATTCAAGATGATAGATTAACAACATATTTACCAGTTGTTTATTTTATCGGTTACGCTATTTTCTCTGTTATTTTATGTATATCTATAACGATATTGCAAGGTAAAACAATTCGAAACATCATTAAACAGCATAAAGTTCGAAGCATGCTGACAAATAAAAACACTCTGAAGGTTGCAAATCCTGATTTATCCAATGATAAAAACACATCTGCAAAGAACCAATCGGAAAGCACAGAGATTAAGACAACGGAACAACATCAATCCGTTCGTCAGAAATCACAAAGACGTCAACGACTGTCGGTCGACAAAAAGCATATAAAAATTGCCGTCATGTTTTCAATCATCAGTTTTCTTTTGATTGTGAGCTACACTTCAAGACACACATTTTATTTGATAACATTGTACGAATTGTCAGAAGTCAGAAACAAAGTCGTCTCCCGGAGTTTGGATATCGTAATGTTGTATGTCCCAGATGTTGTTATCATCAACGGTGTCATCAATCCATTCGTCTATTTTTTCAACGATCCACGATTTCGAGCATCTGTTTTTGAGATATTCAAAAGAAAATAATAATGGTTGAATATGTTTTAACACTATTACAGAGGGTACACATTTTTTAATATGGTGTATTTTCAGAATACAGTTGGACGTAACTTTTAGAAAAAGAAGGGGAAGGGGGAGTCTGTTTATGTTTGAAATATGAAGGTAACGAACAGTAATCAAGCTCAAGTGTCCACTGGAACAATAAAAACACGGAGCAAACACAGACCTCTAAAAAAAAATATTAGAGGTGGGATCGGGTGCCACGGAAGATTAAGCATCCCCTGATAAAGGTGATAAAGGTATATTGCTACATAAATAAGGGAAGTTGACGATAGAAATGTTGAAGTCGTCACGTTTGTCATAAAGTTTTGTTGTTAGTTTGCCATTAATATATTTCTCTAGTAAAATATCTAAATATGAAATAGATGTTTCAGACTCTGTGGTGTCTTTTATTTTGAGTTCAAATGGATATATCGAATCAATGTATGAAAATGGAATGAAAATTAATATTTTTAATTGATAAAATGTCGATATATCTGAATGTCAAATTGAAGGCTACAGTAAGAGACTTCTTTTCATGTAGAAGTTCTTGAATAAATTCTGCTTCATATGAATACAAAAATAGGTCTGCTATTAACGGGGCACAATTAGTACCCATGAAAAATTTCAACATATTGTCGGAAGAGTCTAAGATTTTAACATAGTTTTATCTCAGAATATACAGAAGTATTGAATTTCGAATACTTTTTTTAGGAAATGGGATTTCAGACACAGATAGTTACATATAACTAAATAATATAGTACGTCAATATCTATCCGGATAATCATGCTCATATCTGTATATGCATGATACTGATATTCATGTTGTTATTTAGTATTCTCCAGTTAGTTTTGCAATGTACTACAAACTTTGATCTTTAAATCTTAATTTCAAAAATGTTACAAAAGTATTCGAATCTTGTTGAGATATATATGTTGACATTGATGTGTGGACTCTATGAACATATTTATTAAGGAAAATTTTATTTTGGGATTTAACACTCTGTTTGAACTTTGGAAATGTACGAATCAGGATTTTTGAAATTGTGCAATTCCCTATAAACTTGGAATGTAAATTTACATTTTTTATATTAAATGAACACTACTTGGTATTATAATACATTATACTATTTAATTTTTTTCTAAGATATACAAAAAGGATATTCAATGTTTTGCAGTTGGAAATTCTCAGGAGGAAAAAAAGTCTGTCTCACGAATTATATAAATTTCATATCCAACTACAAAACATTGAATTTTCTGTTTATTATATTTTCTTTGGTTTTCTGAACTTGTGCTGCCATATGCGAACTGTGATTTATTTCGTTCGTTATTTGCACAGTCTGTAAAATACGTTGTTTTCACAGTATGAAAATATCAATTTTATTGAACGGATATATATGATTATCAGTACATTGTATTTCACTGTTGAAAATTTAATAAATAGTGTTGTTCTTTTCTTCTGTTTTATGTACATGTTGATATTTCAAAAAATATATTTTATAGCATATGTACTTCATTTATATTGTTTTATTGTCGTTGTCATCTAAAGTTCAATGGCTTCTTCATAAATAAATGAGAAATTGTATGAGTTGATTTTTGGAAATGGTTGTTGTGTCCTTTACCCCCCCCCCCCCCCAAAAAAAAAAAATTCTAGATATCTTATACAAAATTTGTACATAACAAACAATGTAGTCATAATGCAGATTTTTATTGATAAATACATGTATGTTAGCTGCAGAACTATACATGTAGCTCTCCGAAAAAAAAAAAATGACAGACCGGAGAGCTACAGTGCCACCCATAGAAAAAAAACTGTATATTTATTGCGCACAAAAAAGTGCGCTGTTTCTCGATTTATTTCTCCGTATTTTTAAACTGCAATCTCAAAATATTACTGACCGTGTGTTCCTTACACATTTTTGTACTATTCCCACATCAAAACATTTCCTATAACCGTTGTTAATAGCTCTCCTGGTCCTGAAATTAAGACCATCCAAAATTTCGCCTTTTAATACTGCCATTTTGGGTGGCTAGACAATTCGGCCAAAGATGTCAACTACAAGAGTAGTTGATAGAGGTCTAAGGAATTTGTTGAAATCGAGCTTTTGTGCAGTTGAGGTAAGAAATTGGAGAAATAAATCCAGAACCGAGCGCAACTTTTTGTGCGTAATAAATATACAGTTTTTTTCTATGGGTGGCTCTGTAGCTCTCCGGTCTGTCAATTTTTTTTCGGAGAGCTACAGTTCTGCACGCGCAGCTACATGTATGTCAGAAAGACAGTGGGGTCCTATCCTTTAGTAAACTAAATACTATATCTTCCCTTGGAACGGTAAGAGGCACCACAGTTACTCGACATTACATATTTTTCTTATTTAAAAAAACCCCAAACAATCCCATACCTAATGAATCACATTAGGTTTTTTTCTGAGATATATGTATAGTATGTGTTACATATGTACCATCGTCGGAAACCCACGGTCGGTCTCGCTTCTCTTACCTCGGGAGGTAAGAGAAGCGAGACCGACCGTGGGTTTCCGACGATGCATATGTACATGTACATTGTATATAATGTATGTAGGTCATATGTATACATATAAACAACTTTTCAGTGGAATGACAGTTTCATAAAAAATTGTTAACGTTTTGGCTGTTAACATGGTTAAGGGAGATTGTTGGTTTTTTTTTTTTTTTTTTTTATTTATTTACGGACAAGCCGCTTTCCTTCTTATCTTACCAAATTAACAATGGGTTTTTGCATGTTTCGCAGAAAAGGATTTCGGGGTCAAAGGTAATTTCATTAGGTTATTTTACTATATAAATTTAATAATTCAGAAAATCCTGAAGGGGGGTCCAGGCCACCCCCCCCCCCCCACAACTGACTTAAATGTATTACTCCGGAATTCCTTTGTTTGTTTGGATTCAATTTTCTCTATTTATTAAACTTTAAATTTCCGGTTAAGGTTTACGTCGAGTTGAGTTTGAATGATGACTTCTGTCTTTAATCAAAGCATTAGCATGGTAACTTGAAGGAGGTATATACTTCGGTAAGTATTCCCAAGAAAATACTTTACCTCAACCTTTAATGTAAAGTTTCCGAATTATCAGGTCTTCATTCATTTCCGATTTTATTGTTGCGTTAAACAGGTCCAGTAGGCAGTGCAATCAGTATATTTAGCTACTTAGCTTGAATTACCTACCGTAGCTTTATTTACCTACTTAAAGTAGCTTCATTTAGCTATTTCAATGCAAGTTCTCATAATTTTGCTTTTTATTTAAAATTAGGGACCTATATACTATATGAATGTCAGACACCTCGGCCCAACGACACCTCGGCCCAACGACATCTCGGCCCATTGACACCTCGGCCCCGACAGGTCGGCCTAAGATTTGAGACACCTCGGCTCACGTAAAAGACACCTCGGCACAAACAAAAATGTATTATTTTAAACATATTTATTTGATATTTTCTTAAGTATTTTATTATTATAGGGACTATATGCGACGGATTATATTATTATATATCCATGAAATAAAAAAGAAAATAATTGAATAATCTTCCGAGAGTAAATTGACGGTAATTAAAAAAAAAATTGTCCATCACATAGTGCTAATCGTTAAACAAAGAAGAAGACGCAGCGCATCCTTTGAAGTCTCAAGCGCATGCATATGGGGTGGTGACAATGAGGAGTTAATTACGAGCAGGCTAAATTAATCCAATTGTTGGGTACAAACCACATATCTTCCTTGGTTGGTTTAGGGAAATATATCCATTATGCTCTAATATTACGCAAAGATCTATCAGGTTAACGTAACTTCTATCTGTGTAAGGTTAAGTTGAGTTTATAAATTAAAAAAAAAATCAATTAAGACATCTTATTGATCAGGACAGAATACCTCAGGACATATGCTACTGTGCACTGGTTTATACATATAATTATTATATATAGATAAGTGTACAAGACGCCCCTACTACAAAGTGATTTTTAAGTAAAAGAATTCTAAATATTATGAAATGAATAAAGTTGCATTTTCATAAGTAACAAAATAAATAAATAAATAGACCTCCTATCTCCCACTCAATAAATACAGCAGCTGACATCTATGCTGTCGTTCGTTCAAAAATTCTGAAATTATATGCCCGTTTATCGTATACATATCGTCATTATAAACATACATACATTTATATTACCATAGTGAATACAGATAATAATTCTAAAATAAAAATTCCTTGGGCCGAGGTGTCTTTAGTATGGGCCGAGGTGTCAATAATTTTGGGCCGACCTGTCAGGGCCGAGGTGTCAAGCGTGACGGGCCGAGGTGTCGCTGGGCCGAGGTGTCTGTCTACCTACTATATATATAGGTCCCTGTTAAAATTGACAAAAAATCGCAAGCACATGTACGTGACTACTAATATTTATACTAGAGAGTTTTAAAAAAGCAAATCAGAGCAAAAAAAGTTTAAACATTGCTGCTTTTTAACACTTTTGAGCAAAAGATGTATTTCCATTTTCTGAGTAACAGTACATGTAACTGTGCACAACCTTGTGTCTGCATCAAAGTGGGATTTTTGTACATAGGTATACAGTTTCAAAACATAACTATTAAGTTGTAAAGTACAGTGTCATAAGCTAATAAACATGTATAAATGCTTTAGGCCTAATAAAAAAATATGTTTGTTTACGGTTACCCGACCGACCCTATATTTTATCGCCGACCCAAGTTTTTTTCCGTCGAAAAAATCAGGAAGTCACTCATCGGTCACTTTAACTTTTACATGCATCTTAATAGGTCAAGCGTTTGAAATTGAAATCGAAAGTACTTAAAATCAAAATGGCATGTTTAATATCTACATCAACGTCTTTGTGTCTATCGCCCAAATGGCAAGCCCCAAAACAAAAGTAAAGCACCACACAATGGTAAAACTGTTTGTATTTCAACCAATTCATGTGAATTCATGTATAAAAAAAATCAATGAAATAAAAAAAAATCTTACCTACCGGTCCTCTTTTATTTCAGCATGTAACTAAACAAACATATTTTTTTTATTACGCCTTATCAAACTGCCTCTATAATTTAAATTAAACTGTCTGGAGAATTTTTTGCAAAGTAGGTCAAAGGCCAAGGTCAAGTGGTCTGTAATGCTGGTATTTTTCAAAATGTGTTATGATAAATATAGTGCACATGCTAAACATGCTAAATAGCATAGACTTAGCCCCACAAAAATATGCTGTATATTGGCACTATGAACTATTTTGAAGAAATTTTTATTGTACAATTTTGAACATTGCTAACAATTTTAATTTGAAAATAATGGCAAACAAAATTTACTATTTCAATTTTTGGAATTTTTTTCGTTATAGCATAGGAATTCATTTTTTTCAATGTTTCCAATATACATGTATACTATTGAACAGCATCTTATAAGTAGCAGATTTCTCCGTGAGAGAGTTTGACAGAACCTGTACCTATGCTGAGAGCAGTTGCATTAAAAGAAGTATAAATGCAACTGCTAGGCACAGGTTTATAGAGGAAAATAACAGAGTATATGCAGATATGAATTATTATATAGCACTAAACCTGTTTTTTTTTCCACTATCAGATGACCATGCTAAAAGAATGTTTGATAGTGAATATCTTAGTTTTATTTGTGGAGATTTGTGCAAGTGTGAGGAACTGTAGCTACCATGAATACTGGAACAAATCAACAAAGAAGTGTCAGCCCTGCTCTCAGTGTCAGCTACCACAAATAACAGGGACACCATGCACAAATACATCAGATGTGGTCTGTATGGACCTAAAGCATTTAAACTTTGTAAGTATGAAGCATAAATTATGATAAAGTGAACAAATTTTGTTGACATTACTTAAATATGTATGGTGTAATATTGGAAACTATTCTGTATTTCAAACATTTTCTCTCTGTTAAACTGTATAAACTTGTAAGTGCATGGTACATAGTTTCAAAATGTTGTGATAAACTCATACATGTATAAAGGTACATGTACATGTAATATATAATATGTTCAAAATATATTGTGGGTAAAATAACGACACTGAAATATATAAATATATAAAAAATAGTCAAGTAGTGCAGCAAAATCATTTATGGTGAGTCGGATAATTTTTTTTCCCATATTTAGTCATCACCACTCATCAGATCAAATATTTTCTATATGTAGCTAGAAGTTCATATAACTGTAATGTTATACATGTCAGACATCTTTTGCAGAGTTTTATAGTGGATGATTCTCCTAAGGTAACATCACGTCTTCCATTTCAAAGAGATCTTTTGTACTTGGAGGGAGAAAATGACACCTGGAGGCTGCTGGCCTATATCCTAATTGGTGTTCTATGTTTTCTAGTCGTGACAGTTATTGTGAGCCTGTTAGTGTCATGGCACTGCATCAAGAAGAGAAAAGCCACAATGAATAGAAATTATGGTAAATATGTACTTAGTTTCTGTTGCTTACCTATATTACATGTAAATTGTGTAATGAGTATTTATTAATTCCTAAGAATGATGGGGTTGGGGGTACCACTCCTTAATTGTCTGTTTGTGTCTTTATTTGAACTTGGTATACGAAGTTGAATCTTACATTTAACAATTCTTAATTTGTTAAAGATTGGACATCATACATGTTTATATAACATGCTTGAAGTGCTTTTCACATACACGTGTGTCTGGATTTAAGAATTTGTTAAATGCTCATTATGCTAGATAGCAGATACTCTAGCTACATGTAACTATGGCCATCATCATCCAGTTATGGTGTGTTTGCTAATCAGTGCTGCAGATAGCTTTAATTCCACAGAAATTATTTTTTCCCCTTTCCTTACCATCTTATCACAGCAAAGTACATGAACCTTTGTGTTAGCCATTTTGTATTTCTTCAGGTAGATTTCATGTTAAGCATTTCAATAAGCAACTTTTAAGTGCAATCTGCAAATTATTTTTCTTCTAGTGCCACCATCTTCATTTTAATTTTTTTAAAAAGTGGTGCATGTGCAATTTTTCTAAATACAGGAGGAAATTTTAGGGTTATCTTTCTTTGCAAAACTCAATGCTATCAATCGGAATGCTCCTGGAAAAATGTTGAGTCAGTAGGGAAAAAAAGCACAATTACTATAATACTATTCATATACATGTACTCTCAATATTCTTGTTTCTCAATGGTGTTTAACATTTTTTTAGAGTGGCATTTTTTTGTTGTTGACAATTTTAAATTCAATACTGTACATGTATGTGAACTAGTAAGTTTGTACTTATTTTGTAAAATTTTAGGGATTTAAAAAATACATTAACTACTTTAAAGCAATATAGTTCTTCCAAAATCTCATTTAAGTATGTGTTTCTGTAAAACGTTTTCAAAATCTTAAGTACAGGTATAAATGTCGTTAAAACGTGATACATTTTCTGTGTTTAGTGGAGGGAGAAGGGGAATATGTGGTGATATGCAGACTTCCCGATCTAGTCAGCCACCCTCCACCTACAGAGATCCTCCCTGGATCCCCGCCCCTGAGTCCCCACAGACGGTCCTCCAGACGTTCTCGATTTTACCGAAACCACAGAATCTATCGCCCACAGAGACGTCTAATGAATGAGTATGTGGATGATGTCTTTGAATCAGAGGATTCCGGAGGATCTCGGTCCATTCGGATACCCCTTCACACTATTCCAGAGGATATTTGAGGAGATATCCATTTCATAGGAAAGAATAAAATGGTTTTCTTTTTTTACTTTCTATATATAATTATAGTGGATTGCTAAGGAAATTCATTTTTTTTTCAACCAAGTAGGACTTAACATCCATTATTTCTAGAAATGCATTTAGTGTCTTTTCCACAAGTCGTTTGTATTAATATTTTGCCATATGTCTGATCTCAGTCAAACATAGATAGATATTTGTACATTTACTTTAATACGTTCGGTAGGGTACTTTGTTCTGCTGTAAATAAAAGAATTACGGAAATTTGATTTAAGAGTAAGTTGAATGTTTGCAAGTAATTTTCCCCAATTGATATTTGCCTCAAAACTTACTAAAACTATTAATTTTTAATCGAATATGTCATAGGATTTTGTGTTTCTCAATTGTTACAAGGGATGAATTTATTAGCTATTTTTGTCTAAAGAAATACACCAATTAACAAGAATATAAACTTGTTGAAACAGGAAACTTTATAACTCTAGCTTAGCCAATCTGTACCTGCGTCGTCACTGAAATTTTATAGGACAGACAATCAAAATATTGGATATGTCACAAGAGGGCACGAGTAATTCATCATAAACGTTTTTTTTTCATTGGCAATAAACCAGGAACTTATTTAAGATTTTAAGTGTTAAAAATAAATATTATTTTCCTTGATCGATTTAAATAAAATTTTGAGTCTTGTCACGGACTGCTGCAAAGTTTCTTTGAAGCATCTACTAGTATAAAAAAAAATTGAGGGTATAAAAAAAGAGTATTTTAAAAAGAAAGTTGAGAGTCAAATTTCTAATGACGACATACATGTAACAGTATTTTTTATTTCAATCCATTTTATACCGGTTATAAATTGAACTCGGTTAGGTACACAAGATACATGTATTTAATTTGACCATAAGAATTGCAGCCTCTTATGTGTAGAAATATTAACACAGGACGAACAAAGTGAGTTTGATATACATAGACTATGTATATAATATGAACAATATGCCAGAATTATAAGGATAATGCAAGTGAATACCCGGTAATATTAAAAAAATAAATGAAACAATATCTTTCATATGTACATGTAAATAGTACTTTTATGAAATATTTATTCATTAAACCGTCAGCGTTTATACTTATACACGTAAAAACCTGTTATTTACATGATTATGTCAATTTAAGTGTCGTGGATAATTTCTTTCACACTTTTATCGCTAAGAAACACAAAATTGAGGAAATCTTTGTAACATATAAAAATATAAAGATACGGTAAGAACTGAAGTACATTGTAGATATTTTTTTTTTAAAAATAAATTCTAGTCCGAGATTTGAAAAAAAATAACTGTAAATTCAAATGTATATAATATATACATGTAGTACCATATTGTGTTCATGTTTATTATGACTGTATATATCTTGGACATTATAATTTGTCAAATTTTTCATGTGCTTTTATTCATAAACAGTAATGTGCAGTACAACTGCTTTAAACCCGCTGTAAATGTTTTAGTCACAAGTCAGCCAACACCAGTATTTTTGATATTGATGCTTCGCCATCTGATGCAAGATTTACGAAACCAAAGTACAGTTTCATGTATTTTTGACTTCTGTAGTTCTGTGTGGTTAATTGTTTCTTTGAAGTTCGTCTAAAATAAAGTAAAACACTCGGTCAGCACAGTCTTGATTTTACTGAAAATTACTAAGGTCACATTTATGAAATGGTTGTATCAGTGTTCGTATTTACAACGCTGATGGTTATTTTTTCCCCGTTTTTATATGACGTCAAGCATTAGCTCTGTGAGCATATATATTTTTTTCTTTTTTTTTCCTTGTGCTTGATGTGTTAAAGTCAAGTTTGTTTTAATATTGTCAGAAAACAACTGGCCGTGGACAAGACAGATTTTATTTCTCCAGTATTTTTCAAATTTTGAACGTTGTACTTTTTGTGCTTTTGTATATTTTCACATTGATCAATTGTACTTTGTGCTTTTGTGTATTTCCACATTGATAAATGTCATCAGTTTCATTTGTGCTATACAGTGAGTGCTATCTCAAAAATGTGAAGCGTAAAAAAGAAATGTTTTGTTTTAAAATTGCCCATAATTCTTTACATAAGCAATTTAGAGAAAATAATGAAAGATAAGGTAACTTTTATACATAAACAATTTAGAAAAAAATAATGACAGATAATGAAAGATTTTTCAATATTTTTCTATTAGCTGAGACTTTGTTTTATGGTCTGTATGCTGAATGATTTTAGTATTATTTAAATGAACTAAAACCTGGGGTGATTTTAAGTAGAACAGATTGTATGTGTATCATAATTTTTAACTGATAAACATCTTTTTCTTTTAACTCTAATTTCTGCTGGCTAGCAATATGCAAATATTTTATGAGCTTCACTGTTTTATATTACGTTTTTTGTCTTACACAGATGCAGGTAGCTATTAGTTATTGCTAGATCTCTCATGATTGTGTACTATAATTGATGTGTTCACTTTAAACATGCGTTTTCTGCTATTATTTTCAGTTTTTTGCCATGTTTCTGTTTATTTTTATTGTTTAATAAATTGGTGCACTTTAACGGCAAACTCCTGATGGCTTTACCTCCATCTCTTTTCTCATAAAATACCTTTATCTCTGTGTTCTAGTATCTTCAAGTATATCTTAAGGATGGTAGCTTCCCATATTCAAACAAACAAACAAACAGGGGATTTGCCCAGGACATTGGAGATCACGAGACTCTTAGTTTGACTAAGCTGTTGGGGAGGGGGGGGGGGGGGGTACTGCAATTTAAAATAAGTTCAAAAGTTATAGTATTCAAACCTCGTACATCTATGATTAATAGGAAAATTTCGCCAATAATTTGGATATGCTGGGGATAGTGAAATATTACTACGTGTACATAAAGAGGAGAAGTTTACGATGGAACAGTAGATTCAACGTCATCCTGTTTGTCATATAGTTTAGTTGTCAACTGGTCATTAACATCTATAGTCAATAAAACATCCATGTGTGAAACAGATGAATCAGGCTCTGTGGTTTATTTCGATATAATTTAATTAGTTGTAACACGTCATTTGATTGGATAAAAGATTTCGTTTATACCGTATAATGTGCCTACGTCACAATGAGTTACGTCAAAAACGTATTATTCCGCTTGACGTTACTTTTAAAATATGCTCAATTTGAAGCCATTTTTGGAGGAAAAATTGTTTTATTGTCTATACTGAAATTAAATAATAAGTAATAAAGCTTACTTTAACCTATGTTATACGATAAAACATAACTTGGGGCAGTTTACGCTTTTTTATAAACCGCTTCGCGGTTTATAAAGCTAAACTGCCCCAAGTTATGTTATATCGTATAACATAGGTTAAAATAAGCTTCATTCTTTAAATAATCAGATGTCGATTTAAAGGTCACAACAAGAGTTTTCTTCTTTTTTTATTGAAGAAGTTATGAAGTTAAAAAAATCTTTTCATTGGTTTATCGTGAGAAATGGTTGTATAAAACGTTGAAAAAGTCGTGCGTTTTGACGTTATCATCCTCACAACCTCAGGGGTCCCTAGTCCACACGTGGTCATTGGACCCTGACAAACTTAATTCGACATTTTCTCATTGAGAAGCACCAATCAGATTAGATCTTTCATAAGAAGACATTTAAACGCAAATAGAAAGTAAGCAGTTGACACCTCAAAGCACGTGTTACAGGTTGTATGTCACCGAAAGGTTAAATGTGATTGGTCGAGAGATAAGAAAAACAATCAAGATTAGTAATTTCCCCGAAAGACGTCGCTGCAATCAACCCGTAGAATATCGAAGAAAGTTTGTCAGGGGTCCAACGGCCACTATTGGAATTAGCACCCCTGACGTTGTGAGGATGTGACGTTATTGATTTTTGAGGATCCGCATTTGATTTACATTAATTTTTTAATACGATGTAGCACAGTACGTACGTCTGATTCAAGTTTCTCCTTCGCAGCAGTTAATATTTTTGTTTATTTCTGCTTTAGCAGTCCCAGAAAGCAGTCCCCGGGACTGCTTTCTGTCAGGTTGGTCTGGTTCAGGTACTTTTACGTCTTGAATTTCCCCTCGCTATTTGCTTTCATCCACAATTCACCAGTAGAATCTGGGAGCAAAAGAAAAATGATTCATTTGATAATACATTTGTAGATGGCGATTTATATATATAAAAATGGGATTAAAAAACAAACAGAAAAATGAACAAGCTTTATATATACATGTATGTGGATGATATCAGTAAAGGAAGACTTATTAACAGGTGTGTGTTCATCAAACACTTTTTAAATACAATGTATGTATAAAAATAACGGAAATTATTTTTAAAGATTTGCATATTAAAATTATAAACCAACCTGTGGTAAAAATTAATAGTTTTGTAACAACATGAACAAGTGAATATTAGAAAACCATATTTCACAGAAAATTAGGAGAGAGAAAAAAAAAACATGAAAACCCTGTAAAGACCTGCATTATGTGCTTTCTTCCGTCATGTAATAAATGAATTATTTAAAAAAAGCAACGCTTTAAAAAATGTTAAAGTTTATCAATACGTAGAATTTATGTGCCAGATTAGTCACTTCGATCGCCGTATTTGCATATTATAGAGCTCTACAGAACTGTATCATTCAGTGCCTTGCGGGAATGTATTGATGTTTTGATTCTCTGCCTCCGTCTGTCCGACATCTTAGCACAACCGAGTAGATAATATGGCTCTGACACCGAGCATTCCAATCCCGCGCGACTTCCGGCGTTTCTTCACATCCGCGTACGATGTCGTTTCCTGATGACTGGTGGGCTGAGCAACCATGGAAAGAAAGCGACTGAAAACATGGGATTACATCGCGCTTGTTCTTGTTATTTTTGCCTTTCTGCTACAGGTGGCGGGGTATTTCATACCCACGTGGTGGTCCTACAATGACCCCTCGGCTCGGCATACGATTGTGGTGTCCATGCTTGGCTCTGTTGAGAATGAAGCTGAAGTGGAAAGAACCAAAACAGTTATCGAGATCGAAGGAGGAAGGGGTGAGTCTTCCGTTTTTTATTTGATACGTCATTCTCCATTGATATTAGGACAAGTTTTTTTTCCTCTCCAGAAAAGACATATTCATATCTGAAATAAGTCATCTAGCCAGAAGGTAATGTTTATGTTTATTATTTCCTCTCAAGTAATCGGTACTTTAAATCACTTTCATCGTATTAAGAGATCAACATAATGATGTGCTAGCCATTCTTTTCTTTGATCTTTGGCTGTTTATACTTGTTTCGTCGTCCTATGATCATCTTTACACTCGATTTTTTTTTGTCGATATTGCGATGGAAAAAAAATCTTCCGTATGCAACTGTCCTTGGGGGAAAAATTCATATACCAAGATAAACAATTTATAAATCATAGCATTTGTGATTTTGTTGTTTTATGAGTAAAACCGTAAAATAAAAAGGGGAAAATCAAACTATACATAAAATATTCCCAATTGTATTTTCATTAAAATATGTTGAAGTTTAATGACTTACTCGGGCAAGCTATTTGCAAATAAATTTCCTGCTTATCTACATAACCCCATATAAGTGAGTATTATGAGTAATGGCGGAAATTGTAACTTATTTTGTAATGCAGTAATTTAGACTAAGTACAAATACCACGAAAATTGGAGCGGTGTAAAATTTCTGTACTCAGAATTAACGTACAAGTAGAGTTTGCACTCTCAAATTTCATGGAATAAAGGCTCTTTATCATACATGTATCTTCCTTATGAAGCGGCATTCAAATAAATACAAATCTTACGTCAAACTTTATAATTAATTAGAAGGAAATAACCGACCATCTTAATTGAATCGACCTATAATCTCTAAATACAGTACTTGTACGTGTATCAGAACGAAGTCTTAAATCAAAAGAGATCTATTTTACTACTGTTTTTATCTTCGTTAGATGTGTACATATGTTCCTCTATGGGGCAAACTATTTCAGGAATGTCTGTGATGTTTAAACACTAGTGAGATCACTGCTTTTCCAAGTAGTCAACGTAATAGAAAGGATCCCCTTCACACGGATCCTAAAAACAACCAGATATATTAAGGTTATCTGCCTAATCTTAAGCTTCTCCCATCAGCTATCTTGATTTTCATGTCCTTGAACTTGTAATTTTGTTTCTAGAGAAAATACAAGTTTTCGAAAGAAAACTGCTTATGTGAACTAATTTCTTGTATATATATAATATATATATCTTCGCATAATCATGTTCTGAGCATTTCTTATCAGACTAAAAAATAAGGTACATCTATTCATTATAATGACACTTGATGTTTTAAGGACTGTGTTGTTCGCATTTCGTTATTACTTTGGCATAGAAATATTGGTTACGCTAACGAGATTATTTTTTAAGTGAAAAGGGAACGTTACCAGATGAAAACTATACATTAGGGATTGAATTACATTGTTATATTAAAAAAAAAAAAGCAAGTTCCCCCGGAAAAGCTTTTAATGACGTGGGCGCCGACCTTGTTACAATTAATTCATGATACAGTCTAAATTGTTACCAAAGAATGGTTTACAACAAATAAATGAATTGATTAATAAAAGAGTAAACAAAGAAATAAAGAAAAAAACCGAAATACTTTGTTGATTTTAGAAGTGACAAGAAGTCGAGTCTATCCTTGTTGAAAGTATCTTCCACAGTCATCAAAGAAAGGGTCCAAATAAACTGATAGATTAAAAATATAAAAAGTAATTACTGTTACTCTATTACCCACTGTGTTTTGATAATTTTCAGAATGGCTGTTTATATCCCGTGCCTTTGGTGCGTTCGGAATCCTGCTGAATTTCCTGTCCTTTATTTTCCATCTTCTATACATGTGCATAAGATATGACTGTAACAGATCTGCCTCTATTTACCTTCTGGGTGCCTCAAGTAAGTTATTTTTGGTTTATTTTGTCTTATTCTAACTCTAAAAAAACTATACAAGAGATTTGATTGATATATTTATCAGCGAAAATCACTGTTTTTTCCGGATTTCATTTTTCTTGCTATTTTGGTGATTCGCCAATAATTTAATTTACATGTATGTATATTTACTTGGAAAATTGATCAAATCTATGATAATTAAGAGGTTTACATTTTTTTTTTCATTTACGAGTTTATGTTTTCATAGAGTGTTTTGGCAATATTTTAAACTATTATTTGTTGTCCAGGTATCTCTACAATCTTTACTCTGGGGGGACACTTCCCTCAGTATTGCTGAAAATGAATATCTCTTTTCTTTTGTTCATTCTTATATTCAGCATTCTGGCAGATTTAATTGATTGTCCTTAAAATGTGTATAGTCAATAATTTAGCAGTATATGTTTCTATGTTGTGAGTTAATTTACTCGTACATACTGTTGGACACGTCTAATTCAATCTTTTGTGATATAACATGTAGGGAGAGGGCGAATTAAGTTTTTAGAACTTGTGCCCAATCCCATTGTATATATTTATTGCAATAACATGTTCAAATCAAATCAAATCATCTCTACAATCCTCTTCTAGGTTTGTTTATACTTGGAGGTGCAATAGTATTTGTGGCGTTGTATAAAGAATTGGCTACCAATTTAAAACCCGACTTGCAGACATTAGGATTCCCATGGGGAATTTGCATTTTGGCGGGAATTGTCACCATAGCGGCGTCCATAGTAACGGCAGTAGCAACCGTGAAAAAGGCCAATCAGTGGGACTTTGAGGATGACGATGATATAGATTTCTCCGAAGTTCAAATGAGAAGAAGATAGACAGTTCAAATACAGCAATTTTCATGTATCCCCTTCATAACTTTATAATATTGCACCGCCAGAGTTCACAGAGTTCAAAGCGTATGAATGGAGTTGAAGTCTTTGTTGTGGTGAAGTCAGTGTTGAACTGGTCACGAAACATTGAAAATCTACCAAACCAACTTGCTGTTATAAAAGATACATTTCTCCGAAGAAGCTCAAACATTACTCAAAGATTTCTGTGTCCTCTGCTTTACGTAACACATGTGCATAATGATAAAGTGTACAAGAACAAAAGATGGAAATACGTATAGTTGGATAATCAGAAGATTTTACAAACGCCTACAGAATGAGAAGGATTTGTTTTAAATTTTACTCATGATACAGTATATATAGACATATATGCCAGTATTTTTTTAAAATTAGATATAAGGAGATTTTTGTAGTTTTATCAACCAGGATGGATCAAAACAGTAATAATTTCCTTGTAAAGTGTAAACATGGATGTAGCAACACATATTATTAGTTCCTGTACAACACAGTGTCTCAGTGTGTCGTCAGTTTTACCTAAGATTTATCGGGGCTTCATAAGTGTCAAGTTTGCTTTTGCTTAAGCTTGGCACTTTTTATAAAGATGAACTAAATAAACCCAGAACAAGTATAGTTATGCCATGTGATATTTGTACCAAAAAGACATACATTGTAGCAAATACAAGAAACTTCTACTGCTTTTGTACAGTTGTACCCAATTAAATACAAACTTATCAGCAATCAAATCATATTCTGTCGCCAAAAAGCTTGACTTTAATACTTTTTATAATTTGAATGTATGCCCTTTTTATATTATATTATATTTGCATACTTTTATATACTATCAAACATAAATCGTTTTAAATTTTGATTATCTAACTGTGAAATCGAAATATGAATGTACATGTACAGTTGTAAAGATATTAATCTTATTTTTGTTGATTGATTTGTTTTAGCCAAATTCTATTGATTCTAAAATTAAGTCCACAATTTTTTTTTATCTGTGTTCTTTGTTAAACAGCTTTATATATATTAATATACCATTTAAAAAGAGACTTTGCTATGTAAACTTAATTACAAAAAAGCTAAAAGGTTACCTGAGTCACTCATATATATGTTTTTGTCCATCGTCTTGCGTTGTGCATCGTCAATTAGCTTTTGAACATTTCAGCATCTCAGGAACGGCAGCACCATATTCAACTAAATGTATAAAGCATCTACGGACAAAGAGGAACAAAAATTATTAACTTTATGGTCTCTGCCTCCTTGGGGATTGATGGTTGGAACCAAAGCCATTAAAATTAATACAATCTTCAAAAGTCCTTACCCATAGATAAAAGAAATCATTGATATGATGATAAGCACCGAATCCTTTATCGAACTTGTGAAATTCATGACCCCTGAACTCAGGATTCAGTCCCAGGTTAGGGTTAAGCAAGTCATACATTGAAAATGTATTATATCTTTTCACATCTTCTTCTTTCCTCATGGACATTTAGCAGGAAAATTGCATGATTATAATGAGTACTCAACTTTTTACCAAAATTGTGAATTTCATGGCCCTGTAGTGCTTTGTTCGGGCCTTAAGGTGGGCTTATTTGGTCATATTTAAAATTACGATGCATCGTACAAAATCATGTCTACTCATGGATATTTGGCAGAAATGTTGTTTCCATGATGATAATAATTACTTACCCGTATACCGAAATTGTGAAATTCATAACCCCTGACATACGGCTCAGGTCCCAAGTTTATTCATATCCTTGAATCATCAACTTATTTGGCAATAGCCTGTCTCGTTTTTGAAATTGTTGGCACGAAGAGCATGCTCTTGCTTATCGAATCAACTGGAAGACATAAACACTACATGCAAGTGATAATGATATTTTGCTACATAAATAAAGGAAGTTGACGATGGAAAAGTTGATCATAGTCTAGTTTTCAGTTTCCCATCAATGTCTTTCTCTGAAATATCTCTGAAAATCTTTCTCAAATATGAAACAGAAGTGTCAGACTCTGTGGTGTCTTTTATTTTGAGTTTAGAGAGATGCATCGAATCAACGTAGGAATGAAACCAAATATTGTTGATTGGTAAAAAGTCATCGATATTGTATCTAATGTCGAATTGAAGGCCACAGCAAGAGACTTTGTGTTTTCATATAAAATTTCTTAATAAATTCTGCTTAATATGAATACAAAACTGGTCTTATAACGGGGCACAATTATACCCATGGAATTTCCAAAAGATTGTTTGAAAACCTGGTCTCAGAAAACCACATGCAGAACTACTTTTTTTCTTCGTGTGATTGATTTACACTATTATAATGTCACAAATTTTCGCGGAAATCTGTCTCAGCACACTATTAAGTGCATTAAAGGCATACAATGGCAACTCAAAAAATCCAAGTAAGTTTCTACCCGCGGATTGAACAGAAAAATTACGCGGAATTATGAACCCATGGAAATAAGAACGTTTACAGCATTGTCCGTGAGAAACTCAAAACATATCCTTTTTTTATACCAACCTCGGAGTTTCTGTCTGTAGAATCAGAATATTTTTAACATAATAGATTTGCAGATGATCAATAACAAGGTATGCGAATTTACATTTTCCATTTTTATTGATGACCTAGGATGTTTGCAATTGACTTATACTATTAAACTAATACTGAGTACCTTGAACATCATTGTAGTTTTCTTAATATTTTCGGCACATCTATTAAAGCAGACTTGCTGTTTGCAAATTTTACTTTCTTTTTCTGATTTTGTACAAAGCAGACTTGCTGTTTGCAAACTTCACTTTCTTTTTCTGATTTTGTATACCGGTATGTTGTTTGTGAAGTGAGTCATTCTGTCTGTCCTTCCCACTCGGCGTTCAGCTCAATTAAAAGAAAATGTTCCGAATATTTTTAGTCCAAAATTCAGGGAGCCCTATAATCTTTCAAATGGGGTCAGAAATTCGAATATGAATTTCGTCCAGGGTATGTTAGACGTTAGGCTAAATATCAAGAGAAAAACCTCGACACTTAATCAGAATGGTCTTGGATCAAGCGCTTTAAAAGTATTAATTAAAGAATTATAATAGAAACTAAAAAGCATAGTACGTACCATCTATCGTTGCGTTTTTTCAGTAAACCATTAATTAAAAAAATTAAAACGAGTACATGAACAATATGTTATGATCCAGCTGACAAAGCTTGCAACAATATAATTTGTTTTAAAGCTTATTATAATATCTGCAATATTGAAAACAATTAATTGTCTTTCACTCCACATCTGAAAATTCCCCTTCAAAACTCTAAATCTCTCAAATAACTTTTAACATTTCTGTCTTCGGAAAGTGAATCTGATATACCGTACCTATCCTGGATTCCAAAATGTCATAAAATCCTTACAAATAAGGTACATGTACATTGCAGGGTCTTGTAAAATGCTCTACCAAGCTCCTATCTTTACTTCTCACAAAAATGTTAACTGCTGTGAAGGAGAAATTTCAGACGTACTGTGCTATAACATACATATATTCAAGAAGTGGTGATACTAATAATCAAATATGGATTCTTAAAAACTCTATAAGAACCTTTAAAAAATAGTGAATTACACATGTAATACATTTTTCAATAATCAATAGCATCAAAACGTATGACTTTTTAACACTTGATACAACTATTTCTCACGATATATAAAAGACCATGCCTTTTGACATCATAGATAACTGCTTTTTGACATCATAGACAACTGCTTTTTCAATAAAAATGGAGCCCTGAAATTTCCATATCTTGTGATTGGCCATCTACAAAAAAAAAAAAACAAAAAAAAAAACAAAAAAACAAAAAAAAACAAAAAAAAAAAACAACAAAAAAAAAAAAAAAAAAAAACAACAACAACAAAAACATTCACAAGTACTCTGAAGTTGATTATAAAAAGATGCTGGAGTTTCTCATTGACAATATATATCTAGTCTTTTTGAGACCAGGCTCCAAGACCATAAACTGAGAACAGACTTAGGTCAAAATTTTTATTTTTAATATCTTGAGTTTTATTTAATGCATTTGCTTAAAAATTTGCAATTTTGTATAACATTTAAATTCAAGCATATAATGAAAATTTTGTTTGATTATCAAAATTATTTCAAAAGTTATATTGGTTTTAAATTTTGACTTAAGTCTGTTTTCAGTTTATGGTCTTGGAGCCTGGTCCTCCAGCAATGTGCTGAAATTTCGATAGGAATTATTATTAGCTGACCTGTTTCTTTTTGTTTATTCTTGTGAAGCAAAATTTATTTAAAACTCCTACATGTATATGAGAAGAAGAAACTCTTGTTGTGGCCTTCAATTCGACATATACATGTACATGTATATCGACGACTTTTTTCCCAATTAGCGCTAGTTACTAGTATTTCCATTTATATTCCGACCCAATGTATCCCTGTGAAACTCAAAATGAAATACACCAGAGTCTGACACCTCTGTTTCATATTTGAAAATTTACTTACTATAGATGTTCAAGTAAACTATATGACAAACGGGAAGACTTCAGATTTTCCATCATCAACGTCCCCTATTTATGCAGAAATATTCCAATATCACCTGCATATGGTGCTTATATGCTTCACAACTAATTCGGTACACAAGAGAATGTTCTGAGTGCGATCAATTTTTAAACCGAGGCAGGATACTGATAAATAAGTTGATATTGCGAAGCTTCTACAATCTCGTTAAGAGTTTGCATTTCGCAAATAATAAGGTACAGGTATATTGATTTTGTTTGCAGATAAAATTCTCACCAGAACATTGAACATTGGTTTTATACTAATTTGACTATATTGCATGGTTACCAGATCTATACAAAAGTCTCTCCTCTTGGTGGGTCTGACCGGTTGACAGGGGAGTTTTACTGCTCCTAGGCACCTGATCCCACCTCTGATGTTTCCAAAGGTTCGTGATTTGCCTCGTTAACGTTTTGTATTGTTTACATAATTTATGAGATTGATCACAGTTCGTTATCTTTTCAAATTACATTACGTAAATGTGGGACTTTATTGTCGTTTTAAATCCATGTTGTTTGTGTAGCGATGATAACATAGAATGCATTACCAGTTCAAAGCACTTTTGACCGAGAAGTTTTTGGTTCGAACCTGGCATAGAGCGTTAATTATATTTATTTTTTGTTTATTCAAACAGTCGATACCTTTATGTACTGATTTATTGTAACATTTAACATGGAATACCGCGGGTATGATTTTTTTAATAAAACGTTTATTTTTGGGAATTTCTATATTGAATACATTGTAAATGTGTGCTAGAAGAATAATTTATGAAAGAAGACAAATAAAAATATCCTTGGACCGGTGTATATTCGGGGGGGGGGGGGCTGTCCACAAGCACCTGAAGTTTTCCATAGTAGAATAAATTACCCCAGCCCATTTTCTACGGGCCTGACTTAAAAGTATTGTTAAGATTATTTAAGATCGAACACGTTATAAGACGGACTCGCGATCAATAGGTACTTGTAGATAAAGTACCCCCCCCCCCCCTAAATATTCAACCGCGGGGCTTGTAAAGCGGGGTATTTTTTATGGAACGATTATTTTGCGTTTTTCCAGATTTTTTTCCTATGGTATACACACAGGCTCTTGTTTCGTATACGGGGCACCCTACTTATTTTTACCACGTGGTAAAAATAAGTAGGGGTGTCCCGTATACGAAACAGGTGCCTGTGCTTCGAATGTTTAAATGTATAATCAAGTAGGTTGATATATTACTTTAAATAACAAATTTTTATACAGCCTTAGTCGTCACTTAATCAGTTAATTAACTAGCTCGATTTCACAGAGCTGCTGTAGGTACTATAATGATTGACAGATATAGATGAAGTTATCAGAGATTAGAAATTAAAAAAAATCAGGAAAATTTATTTTAATATTGAAAAGGAGGGTAGGGGTAGGGACAATTAATCCTGTCCACGAGTACCTGTGCTGGATTTTAGAGTTCGAAGAGAAAAGTTGATCACGTATACACATTCTATTTTTAATTCCCCTGTGAGTTTAAATTTTGATTCAAGATTACCATTACTGTTTTCATTAAAAAAAAGATATGTGTTTACTTCCAATTGTAAATTCAGAATTCATATTCAGAATTCTTAAAAGTGAAAAGAATCCACCTGCTATCTTCCTTGGCCAGTATCCTCGAGGAACCTATTTCGGTGGTAATAAGCATTCAATTACAAAATTTCCCTAACGAGTACAACTGAATAGGGAAATAATGCAGTTTTGCTTTAAACTGTTAAAGGTCCCTATACTTTATCCAAATATTACCAAAAATTCAATAAAATACTGACGAATAGATATTCTTTCTCCAAATGTATGGCATTCTGTTTTGGGCACGTGCAAATAGATGAGGTACCCAAATCAGTGGCATGATGCTTTTCAAAGGTTTCTACCTTCATAAGTTCAGCACCAAACAAACAATTAAATGATTCAGAAATTATGGAAATGAACGTAGCAATAGACATGATAGATTTACAGAATATTTTTAACAGGTATATATGTTAATATTGAAAGTGGTGAATAAAATAGTCACCATATCTGAAAATTTCCTTTGAAGTAAAGCAGCCATGGGTCCAGTGGTTATCCTGTTCTTTCAGCCAAACTAAGCTCAAATGACTTTTCTGTTAACTTTTGTTTAGATTTTGTTCTTGATTGCATATTACCAACAAATTCAAATTCAATTGGTAATTTCAATCTTATTTTTTTTACCTTTCAAAAATTGAGTATGTTTCAAAGTTAATCAAACACTGCTGTATGTTTATGTTTTTTCTTATTGATATTTTTACTTTTATATGACGTACTATATAAGCTACTTTGTTACCTAACATTATTCATATATTGATAAAGTCAGATCTCCCAATATAATAAAAATCACCAGCTTAAAAAAGGAGATGCTACCGATTTAGGTACCCCATATTGATTTAGGACCCTTGTTAGGACCACTGTTTGTATTTGGCGCGTTGTGTCAATAAACTGGTCTTTAGGAGAACTAGTTTTCGATGTTTTCATCGAAAACGAAAACGAAAGAAGAATGGCAAAATAAAAAGAAATGGTAATGGCGGCAAGAGAGGCCCATCGAAAGAAAATTGTTGAATATTTAAACCAGTCTCACGACAAAACAAGGACCTTGAAAGACATAGTTCATCATGTAGGAACAGACAGAAAATCCATTAATCAAATACTCTATGCACTGAAGCGTCAAAGTTTGTTAGAACAGCTGTCAGGGGTCCCCCCGGTGTGGAAACTACGGAGCTATGTACAGGCTCTTAAGGCACCATTATGGCCTCATAACAATAAATACAGCGTCCGTATAGGGTCTCCTTCAAAGAAACTGAAACATACCAGACAGGTATTTTTATATATATTTAGAAGAGGTATTTTTAATCCATGAATTTGTGTGCACAGTTATTTTGGAAAATCCTACTTTCATTTTCAAAAAAAGCTAAATATAAGAATCAGCAAATTCAAAGGATTATAAAATAACATGTATGATTGTAAGAATGACAATCTCTTATTACAGGGTAAGTACGACAAAGCTTGAATGAACAGAATAAACTTTGAATCTGAAGGAAAAATTGAATGATTAGTGACTGGTAACACGAAATTTTTAGGCTTATGACACTATTTTAATACATATATTAAAGCCAGAGAACTTAGCTAACACGATAAAAAAGATTTTCATTTTAGTACATGTACTTAAACATGCAGAGAATAGAAATGTTTTCAATCTATACACTTTTGGGGATCTTTATATATCTATATTCATGGTTCAGTGGCGGATTTAAGGGTGGGGGGCGCACCCAGTCACAGTGTAAAAATGTCTACACGGTAGACTTCATTATTACACTACAAAATCTCTAGAATTCTCAAGGCCGCCCTAAGACCCCCTGCCTACTTTTTGCACCCCCCCCCACTTCAATTCCTGGATCTGCACCTGGGGTTGTCATGAAGAATTAGAATAGCAGGGAACATTAAAAAAAGTAGAAGGGAATCTGGGGTTCCTCCCTTAACAGGGGGATGAGGGGGAATACCAGAGTAACTGGGTATTAAGTCATTATAGGTGCGGAAACTCCCTGGCCCCAGAGACTTAGGGAAAACCTTGTATTTATATGTACCAATACTTCATTGACAAACAGATCATAACAAAATTTAAAAGATAAAAATTATAGTACACCAATTATCAAGGAAGTATTCAAAATTTTTCAAGTTTGTTTACTGGTAAATATTTTTTTGAGAATCCCAAGGATATTTGTTTAAGTTTTATCTTTAGAAATATTGTTTTCCCCAAAAAATTTAGTATTTAAGCAGACAGATGGAAATGTGAATGATGGAACAATTTGTATTGGTACTTAAAATTTATGAAAAAGAAGGGAAAAAAAATAATAGAAAGCAGCTGAATACATGACCTTTGAAAGTTATTTACAGTGAGAAATACTGTTTAAATACATGCATGACTGCAAAATGGCTTTTTATTGATTGTTTATCCATGATTTTATACATATATACTTTTTTCTTATTAAAGACCATTACCTATTTTAGCTCACCTGAGCTGAAAGCTCAAGTGAGCTTTTCTGATCGCCTGTTGTCCATCGTCTGACTGTCTAGCTGTCTGTCTGTCTGTCCTCCGTCCATCCATCTGTAAACTTTTCACATTTTCAATTTCTTCTCAAGAACCACTGGGCCAGAAAAGCTGAAACTTATATGGAAGCATTCTGGGGTATTTTAGATTCTGAATTGTACAAATCATGACCTCCAGGGGTAGGGTGGGGCCACAATGGGGAATCAAAGTTTTACATTAAAATATATTGGAAAAATCTTTAAAAATCTTCTTCTCAAGAACCACAGGGCCAGAAAAGCTGAAACCTACATGGAAGCATTTTGGGTTAGTGTAGATTCTAAATTGTTCAAATAATGACCCCAGGGGTAGGGTATAAATTTTACATTGAAATATATAGGGAAAATCCTTAATAATCTTCTTCTCTAGAACCACTGGGCCACTCTGAAAAGCTGAAACTTACATGAAAGCATTCTGGGGTAGTGTAGATTCTAAATTGTTCAAAACATGACCCCCGGGGGTAGGATGGGGCTACAATGGGGAATCAAAGTTTTACATTGAAATATAAAAGGAAAAACCTTTAAAAATCTTCTTCTCAAGAACCAGTGGGCCAGAAAGGCTGAAACTTTCATAAAAGCATCTTGGGGTAGTGAAGATTTGAAATTATTAAAATCTTTACCCCCAGGGGTAGGGTGGGGCCACAATGGGGAATCAAATTTTTACATTGAAATATATAGGAAAAATCTTTAAAAAATCTTCTCAAGAACCACTGGGCCAGAAAAGCTGAAACTTACAAGGAAGCATCCTGGTAGTGAATATTCTAAATTATTCAAATAATGACCCCGGGGGATAGGGTGGGGCCACAATACGTATTACATTGGGAAAATCTGGTGAAGAACAGCAGGGTCAAAGTTACTCGGTGAGCGTTGTGGCCCATGGGCCTCTTGTTTTTATACATATAACTTTTTTTTTCTTTTTAAAGACCTTTCAAATAGATCCTCAACAGGCACAGAGAATTATACAGTTTCTCCAAACAAAGAATATGCCTATTAAATCTATAGATGTAGCCAGACATTTAGGATTCAGAACCTCAAGAGATATTAATCCCACATTGTATAACATGGAGAAGACTGGAATTGTGAAAAAGTGTGGAGAAAGAGGGTCAGTTATGTGGATCTTAAATCCTACGGAGGGGTCACAACAAGCAGCATTGTTGGATGACCCAGGAATCATTGGATTGGGGATGCTACAGAATTCACCACAAATTGCTTATAGAGAGCCACAACAGGCCACTGGAGGTATCAGAGTGGAAGGCCAATTTGCACAATCATATAACACTCCTAACACTTTTGACAGGAATTTTGATCAATGTGCAAGTTCTGACGTCAGCACTGAGGATCCTTTCATGGGAAATCTTACTAGCAATCAGTTATCTGAGATTGAGTACGAGTCTTCACAATCGGAACCAAGTCTGAATTTTGATCAAATAAATGATGCCAGAAGGACTTTGAAAAGTCAAGGTTACATAGATGATGAGAGTGATTTAACAAGTGTTGGAGATGGCACAGAAGATGATATGGAAACAAATGTAGGAAATATTGCTCCCATGTATCAGTCCACTCCACTGGTAACCAGTCCGGAAAATAATTCAGGGGTTCAGTTTGAGGATACTGGTATAAATGAAAGCAGTGCTACTGCACCTTACTGTCAAAGTGATAGTGATATGAGTGACTCTGGGCAGATGGATCAAGTATTGAAAGGTTTGTTAAAGTGTCCTAATAGTACAGGGGTGAACTTTGTCATTGCTAAAAGGGCTGGTTTAGATAAGAATGAGGTTGAAGACATTCTACAGAAATGTATAAAATTAAAACATGTTTCAACAACAATATCTGGATCAGGTACTGTTTACACACTAACAAAAACTGGTGAGACCTATATAAAAAGCAAAATAGGGAAAGTAGAAACAAAGGGACATAAGACTGTGGAGCAAATATGTGCTCCTCCTCGAAATATGAAAAAGGAATTCACTGGCCCCCCACCAGTGCCAGCCAATCTTGTGAACAACCCTTACAGTGAATTTTGTAACCCTGACCTCTCAAGACCACAAAATCATAATGAACAAACAATTCCCCGCACCCACATGTCGATAGGGCAGCAATCAACTGTAGGCAGTATAAGCACTAAAGGAGCAAACTTGGGCATTCAAGATAATTCTGGTCCTCAACCTTTAATGTCAATTAACTTTACAGAAAATAATTCCCAATCATTTGGAGGTCTAAATTCAACTCCACGGGTACCATTATTAAGTTTACAACCACCTTCGAATACTGAACAGTCTAACTTTAAGTTTCTGCAGAGAGGTCCCTCTACAACATTTGGAAGAGGAAGGGGAAGAGGTTTGATGAATTATCAAAGTCCAAGCACCAGCTGTTCACCTGGTGGCTTTACACGTCCACCTCCCCCAGTGGAATTGATAAGAAAACAGTTAAATCAGACAGGTATTTCACCGAAAAGTGAGGGAGAGGCAAACATTGGGATTTCTGCCAGTCATGTCAATTTAGGGCTGCAGAAACTTGCAGCACAGTCTGCATCAAGTCCTCAACAGACATTTTATCAACAACAAAGCATGTCCAATTCTTCAAATTGTTTACCCCGTGTAGATTCAACTCCTAATCAAATGGTATTACAGGATGGTGGGCCTAGATCACTTGGATTGCCTATGAGGCCCAATGTGTATCCTGGTGGAATGGACCCGCAACCACAGTCCCTGCCTCCCATGGGAAATACAAGACCGTTAAACCCCTTTGATCCAAGTCCTCTGGACCTGAATTCAGAAAGTTTTGCAGCTCTAAACAAAAATCCTGTTAGTGCTCTTATGGAATATGCTCAGTCACGCCACCAGGAGGCAGAAATCAGAGTGATATCCCAAAGTGGGCCTTCCCATAAACCAAAGTAAGACATAAATAGAGTCATCTACTTCCATTTTAAAATACAGTAACAAAAGTATTCCCAGTTTTTCTGCTGAAAAAGATATTTCCGCATTTCATCAAATCTTTATGTGTTAAATAGTTGTGCTTGGTTGTTAGGTTTGTTATGGGTGTCTTCATTGGAGGTAAGCAGATTGCAGAAGTAACATGTTCCAACAAGAAAGATGGCAGAAAGGAAGCAGCAGACAAGGCTTTGAGGGCCCTCATTGCTTCTGGTGACTACAAGGCCACAAATATTGCTGCTGTAAGTATTTGAACAGACATAATTTGGTTTATCTATTCTTTACCATAGAGCTACAGTTCTGCAGCTGTGCGTCTCTGGCTGAAAATTTTTAAGGACTTCCTGAACTTATCTCACTTTTGCTTGGAAGTACTGCTGGTTATTATTGTGTTCGAAATGTTTCCCTTTTATCGGATTTCTTGTACATTCCTCCCAAAACTCCAAACTTACAGATCCCCTAGTGTGACTATTACCCATTTTAGAGTCCTCTGATTTCCAAGTCAAAGGGAATAGTGATTATAGTGAATGAATAGTAATGGTTACATGTATAAGGGTTTATTTGACTCTATAAGGCTGGCATTGATATATCCAGATAATTGTAACTTTATATAGAACTGTTTACATTTTATATGTGTTCATTGGGATTGTGACAATGGCTAGATTAAATCCAAAATGATTACTTATTTAATTTTAATTTTCCAAGTAAAACATAAATATTTTATCGAACTTGAATATATATGAGCAAATCACTTTCATGAGCAAAGGAGTATTGATAAATTGTATTTAATGCAGGGACAGCACTGAGTATAATTCAGTTTTCATAGTTTGGGAAAAGGAATAATGTATTTAAAATTTTGTCTAAACTGACCATCAATTTTTCCATAAATTTTGCTTGGTAGCATTGAAAGGACAGAACTATAATATTTTGCCAGAATGAGAGCATCTAGAATAAGTTTTGCTTTATAAATTGCTCACATTTTGTTTCTTTTAAGGCATCAAAACCTCAAGTTTCTGTAGACAAAATGACCCACTTTGACAAAATGGCAGCATTGGTCCACAGGTCTTTTAATGAACTCTCAGCCAGCATCAGCGAAAATTTCTCAGGAAGGAAAGTCATAGCAGGACTTGTGATGAAAATGGCTGCAGAGGACATCGGAACAGTCATTGCCATAGGGACAGGTATTGGCAGTTTCAGTACAGATGTAATTCTTTAAAAGAAATTTATCTAGATACATGTTTGCATATACAAGTTGTGTATTATGTCAATAATTGAACCATCAGTTATAAATGTGTAAGATTAGTCAACAATATAACATTTAACTTTGACATCCCCCCTTTTTGGTAAAGCGTAATTCCGTCTGGAAGATGGGGAAGTGGGGAGGGTTATTGTTATTTCATGTCTTTGACTTCTACTATAAAATGATAAACGTTTTATTGCATATCAAAGTTTATTTTAACAATTTTTTGATGCATGTATACTAATCTACCTGTACATGTATCTCCAATGTAAATCTGAATCTTGGAGATTTCTACCATCTGATAACAAATATGTTGTTTGTACAGGAAATAGGTGTATCACAGGACCGCAGCTAAGCCTCGAGGGAAACACAGTGAACGATTCCCATGCAGAAATCATCACAAGAAGAGGATTTATTAGGTATTGAGTTCGACACGGAAATAAATTTAGATGTTGCACACACAATGTGACAAGAAATAACATAATTTTTTTTTATAATGCAGGTTTTTATACAAGCAGTTGATGACTTATAATCCTGCCACACCTCATCGACTCTTTGAGCAGTCACCAACTGGAAAAATCCGCATAAAGAAAAACATCACATTTCATCTGTATATTTCTACCGCTCCTTGCGGAGATGGAGCTTTATTTTCTCCAAGGTAAATCTATTGATAAATAGAATTTCACAGTTATACAGTTTGGGAGGACTGTATGCTAAATAGCAGAAAGATTTGATTTCCTTCTTGGGTCAGAGGATATAGACAGTCAGTCCTATTTCTCCAAACTCTGCATTCTAAATGAAAATTACAGGTACATGTACTCTCAATAATCCTTTTTGGAATTAATATACTATTTTGCAATGGGTATTGGTGAAATAAAACACTCTCCTTGCTTAGGTCTAAATTGGATTATTTTGCATTGTAGAGTGGTCTTTGTTATCTCAGTGTATTGTCAGTTAAACAGTATTTTTAGTCTCTGAACTGTTTGATATTTAATCTTTTTAATGGCAGTCAAGAGGACAAGTAATACAAGTAATTCATATCTATCTTGGGCAGAAGGAAATGTTATTCATGTATCATACAGTAAAACTCGGTTATAGCGAAGTTCTGGGGACCTGCGAATTTACTTCGCTATATCTGTAATTTGTTATATCCATATTACGAGTTCGTTAAAGTATACATAACGAATTAGCAATGCAGATTTTTTCCTTCAAGTATGACTACCAAATGTATTTAGGGAAGTATAAAATGCAAAATCTACCTTTGGGGTTCAAGTTTTTGGCCAAATTTAGGTTCAGAAATAAATACTTAAAAAATTAATGTCAGTTCAATACTTTGGGATTGAAATCTTTGAGAATTCGCTTTAAAAGATGTAAATTTCGTTATTTTTAACTTATCAGTTCACTATAACTGTAAATTCGTTATATCCGAGTTCGTTATATCCGTAATATATTACTAAGAATTGTCAAGAGATTTGCTGGGGATTGCAGAAAACTTTGCTATATCCGTAAATTCGCTATATCCGTGTTCGTACTAAACGAGTTTTACTGTACATAAAGATACTTGCAGTTCTAAAAGTGTACTTGCATATATATAATAAATATTTTTTCCCTGATGTAAGAAGTAGAAAAAATTGTCACTTAAGTAGACATAATTAAATGTAACATAATTTTTTTCAGAGATGAAGCCTCCAACAATGCTGTACTGAGCAATATAAATGACAGAGCACACACACCCACCTTCACCAGTGCTGCCCAGGGTCTGGTACGAACCAAAATGGAGGGAGGTAGGAATTGGGATTCTTAGCTACTGTTTATAGGGAAATTTTTGCCCCCGTTTTATTTTCGTCTCTATCACCCTCATCCTAAGTTCGTAAATTTAAAATGGGTGGATTCAAAATAAACAGTATTATCTCTTTACATGTCTGGGTGAATTTAAAACAGCTAGAGCTAAATTGTTAGTGTGAAAGAGCGAAAATAACATGATAATCCTAAGTACTGTAAATGAATTAAGTATAAAGAATCACTTTTCTCTCAAATATTGATAAAATTTTAGACAAAATTTAATTTTTCTCATACGTCTTCATATTCTAAACAGTGTTTTACATCTTGAATTTTAGGCAGTCTCTGAACGGTTTTAAATGCTTCTAACTTTTCACAAGATGAAAGAAATTCATACTTTAAAAAATTCTTTGGTTCTTATTAGGTGAAGGAACAATCCCAGTAGAAGATGATTTTACAGCTCAAACTTTTGATGGAATCCAGAGGGGAGAGAGGCTGCGTACAATGTCCTGTACAGACAAGATTTGTCGCTGGAATGTAGTAGGAATGCAGGGAGCTTTACTGAGTCATATCTTGGATCCAGTTTATCTTGATTCGTTAACATTAGGTAAGATTATAACAGCCTATTAATATATTTGAACAACTTTGAATAACTGCTGTTATCTGTTTGTGATGGATAAAGAAATTCTGTGCAGAAAAACTTTTAACAGCTATTATGCCAAGTGAAGCCATGAAAAGAAGATTGCAGTCATTTTTTTTCTTCCCATAGAGTTTTTGACCTAATTAAGTACTAGTAATACTTCAGATTTCTTTGCATAGGATTATTGTATGATCATGGTCATCTGTCCCGTGCCATTTGTTGCCGTCTTGCCCGTGGGGATCCAGACATCAACAGCCAACTCCCTGACCCCTTCCATCTGAACCACCCTTGGCTTGGTAGAGTCACAGTCTGTGATGTTCCCCGGGAGACCCAGAAGACAAAGGCCTTCAGTGTCAATTGGTGCTTTAGTGATGCACAGCCAGAGGTCACAGATGGAACTCTTGGATTGTGTTGCACAAGGTTTGTGCTTCAGAGTTGATTAACATTTAACAATACTTGTCTGCATCCTCTTAAATACTGTATAAGCAGAAAATTTAGCGAGGATTCAATTTTGACATTTTTAGCAAGGGTTGAGATCATTTAATTTAAGTATCGCTAAAAATTTATCCCACATTACAAGTTATTGTTATCTTTCTATGCAACATAAAATCGCTAAAATTACTTCTCGCTAAAAATTAAATAATGATTTTTAAGGAAAAATGGCTATTAAAATTTGCGTCTCGCTAAAATTTCCACTTATACAGTAGTCTAGAATAAAGAGTGAATGTGCTACTGGCTATTATTAAGGAATCACTGTCTAGTTAGTAGAGTATGCCAGGGCATCAACGATAGTTGGAAACATGGGATAATTTGCATAATGGGCGAGCCCGTTATGCATAAATTATCCCATGTTTCCAACTATCATTGATGTCCCTGGCATACTCTACTAACTAGACAATGATTCCTTATATTTCCATTTCATTGTGAAATAAAATTGTAAATTTAGATTTTAAAAATGTAGACTAACAGATTTAAATTACACGAGGCCAAGCATGTCAATTTCAATAATCCCCGCCCACTGACGTCAAACACAAAGACAGCCGCACGAGATTTACATGCATTTTAGGCCTCCTTAGAGTCAGACACAAAGACAGCCGCACGAGAATTCCATGCATATTAGGCCTTCTTAGCTCCTGACCTTTCGCTTTGCGAAATTTGCATTAGAGTGGAATGATCAAGAAATCAACTCTCCTGACTTTCAAAGTGTTATCACAGAGAAAACAAATCGAAATGGAAATATTAGTGTTTCAACTTTCAAATAAAAATATATTTTCATTCCATTTTGAACTTGCTCTTCTTTGGTCCCTTAATTGCATTCTTCTTATTTTAATTAATTTTACTTGCCTTTCTTTACACAAATATTATTTTCTTTTAGCATTGAGAAGACATTATTTTCTCGCTGTTCCAAGAGGAATTTATATGATAGCTTCAAGGAAGTGTGTTTGAAACTAGGAAAAAACAATTTACTGAATTTCCAAACTTATGGGAAGGCCAAACAAGCAGCAACTGAATTTCAGTCAGCGAAAAAGGCACTGGTGTTGAAGTTGAAGCAAAACAATTTTGGGACTTGGGTGTCTAAGCCTCCAGAAGAAGAAATGTTCTCCTAATTTGCAGCTTATAGCATAATATTTTATGGTGCTTATAAATGGCATAGGGGGCATTACTTCTGTTTCATACAGAAATTCAATACTGAGATACTTAATGAATCTAACAATTTCTTTTTTACCTGTGAAATTGTTTTACATTTTTATCACATGTTGCAATTTTTTTTTTATAATCTATTTGTTTATTGCACAGAAAGAATCTGTTTGTTTCTCTGGTATTACCACATAAAAATTAACATTTAAGATAAGTGTATAGATATTATATGATTATTTTGTGTTCATTTATTGCACAAAACCAAATGCTGTTACCTAATATTACATGTATATTTCATGTATGGTTACATTTTTTGTGTATGATTCAAAACTCAGTCAGATTTTGTTACTTATACATACAAACTTCTGACATGTTTATTGCTTTTTAGTGTTTTTGTTTCATGTAATGTACATGTTTGTAACATAAAATTTACATAATTGAAATAAAAGATTTAAAAAAAAAAACCAGGAATGTTGTCATTTTGTCAGTACCTTAGAATAGTGATGTATAGGACATAATCAACAAACAAAAAGTATCTGCTGATGACACATTTTAGAAACTGGTTTCCTCACAGTGCAAGTCAAGCGAATAATGCAAGACCCCGACTATATATGTATAGTGCAAATATGTACAATTTTATATGTTCAAACTATGCCCTAAACCGCTCAAGTTACCTTGTGTTTTATTTGACAATTGCTGTTTTGTTATGGTTACCGAATGCTTATTTTTATTTTGTCTCTCTCTAATTGAAAGGGATTTGTCTATTTCAACAAAAAGTGTGAATCTTCATTTTCCAGTTGTTCTTTGAGGAAAATGGCTTTAATGTGTCAGCCTCAAGAAACAAGTTTATTTTTTTTTCAAGCCAACTGGCTCATCAAAGTAACAAAGTATGTAATTAAGAAAAAATCATCTAGAGAGAGTGAACTTAAAAATATATGAATATAAAAAAAAGTGTTAAAAACCAAGATTATTTTTTTTATCAGTGTGGCAGCATTCAAAAAATTAACAAAATTTAAATTAAAATTATTAGTAGTTAAGCGTTTAGTATAATAGTACTTTTCCAGAAATGTCTTTCTTAAGTTATTATAATAAGAGCATTTCAAAATAAAACTAGAGGAACTGTGAGCACTGAGCTAACAAAAAGATACCCTTGCATCCCATATGTTTATAATGGCAGAGTCAATGTTTTGCTATGGGAGACCTTAAAAAATGTGTCTGATCAAAAAGTAAAATAGAAGAGTACAATGGCACTACGTAATAGATATTTTTTGTCTTCTGTATCATTTAATCTTATTCAGTGGTATAGGAGGAGTTGTGGATAAGGGATGGGTACCCGTCAATATTATAGAAAGAATGGCAGTGTTTAATGCTGTGCTATTGGAAACTCCAAATATGAATCAATTCAAAAAGTAAAATACGAGGTGCACAATGGCACTATGTAACAAAGATTCTGTGAAAGTATCATTAAATTATATTCAGTGGTATAGGAGGAGTTGCGGATTCATTGCCATTATAATCATCGGTGGGTATCATTTTGTGAGCTCAGTGCTCACAGTTCCTCTAGTTTTATATAGGTTTTGTTAACTATTATTGCAAGCAGAAATTGTCCTATTCTCATATTTTACTTTTTTGACATTTTGGGTCTCCAGTAGCAAAACATAGATACTGCCATTTTTCAATAATATCGAGGGGTACCCATCTCTTATCCGCAACTCCTCCTAAACCACTTAATAAAATTTAATGATACTTTCACAGAATCTTTGTTACATAGTGCCATTATGCACCTTTTTTTATACCCCCGCTTGAAAAGTGGGGGGGGGGGGGGGTATATAGTGATGGGGGTGTCCGTCCGTCTGTCTAGCTGTCCTAGGCAAGTTAACTCTATAGTTCACTTAGTTTAATTTTCCTATAAACATACTACTTAGCCCTTTTATTGTAGAATAAGATGTTGTCATAAGGCAGTAATATCGTATTCGATACACGTAAGTGTTTTCCTCTAAAATTATTTTTCTTTGTGACTAGGTAAATTAGTAGAGTTATTAGTAGATCAGTAGAGTCTAGTTTTATTACATATCGCACTGCTGGGCACTCATGGAAAGGTACTACTCATAATTCCAGGAAAGCGAATAACAAGTATTTTCTAGTTTAATATATACTAGTACATGTGTATATTGACTACAGCAAGGGCCAAGAAAGAAGTAAATAAAAAATTTGGGGATGCTAAGTACCCAAATCAACTTTTGGAAAACGATTATTGGTGTCCTGTATAATTGCAATAAGATTTCAGAATTTTCATTTTCGTCCTGAGGGCCAAGTAGGGGTTAAAAAAAACGATGTTTCTCTACAAAAAAAATTGGTTCCATAAAGTCTTGCATTTTTTTGCATTAGCCAATTCATCTTTTTAAAAAGTTCTATAGTCATGTGATAAGGTTTTGGAAATTAAATTTTTATCAAGGAGTCTAATTTGGCTTTAAAATTTAATTCTTTCAACATAAATTTTTTCTTTACAAAGCTGTAATGAAAATTCTAAAAGCTTATTGAACCTCTACAGGTCAACACCAATCATATTTCACAAGATAAATTGACTGCTGGGAAAAATATAAGAAGCGGTTTAAACCCCTACACCCCCACGGGTGTTTTATTAAAATGAAAACCTTATTGCACAGCTGCAGGACACCACCTATCATTTCCAAAAGAGGAAAAGGCAACCGCTTTAAATGTAAAAGGAGTTCAAGGAATTAAGAGGTTGGTGTGAAATCCACTCTCATCATGGGCAGTAGTCAGATCATCTTTTGGTATACGATTTATGGTGTCCTGTAGTTATGTAATAGGGTTTTTGGAATTTTTGTTCATTCTCGAGGCCAATTAAGGGCCGAAAATTTAACACTTGCTTCTACACAAATTCTTGTTTCCAAAACTCTGTTTAAAACAGAATTTATATGCCTCATTAAATTCTAAAATTGCAGGCTGGTCATGGATTAGTCATATGTCAAAATACTTTTATATGCCTGGTCACATACTCACCTTAGCATTTTATGCTTATAATAGGATGCATGTAGATTTTCATATAAATCATGGAATAACTTGCATTCTTATACGTACGTGATATCTATTTGTCTTATGGCAGTATCTATAGTTTTGAGAGGAGAAAAGACAGAAAATCATGAATCAGATATTTTTACCTGAGAGTTGGTAATTGTTCTGTTTGTTGTCTGTATTGCTAGATACATGTCAAGTACATTTCTTCACTAGTATTTTGCAGTGGAAACATATCCAAAAGATCAGATTTGGGATAAAGTATATAGCTAGTGCATTACCATTGGGTAATTGGTAAATATCAAACGAACAATTCCATCATATTCGGTGGTTTAATATAAGTATCTTTTGATTGAAATTGAATTGAAATTGCTTTTAAAAAAGCCAATTTTGTATGAAAAGCATAAGAAAAATTTCCCAACTTACATAGTACTGATGAATTGACTCTAGCAGAGTTTATTTTTTTCAACATATCCTATGATGAGATAACATTTCAGGTCACTTGAGTCATTCTGTTATTCTGAACCCAGGGCAGATGGATTTCCAGTATCGATATGCGTCGTCCATCGCTCTTACAAATTATTGAATAATTTCAGCTCCTTCTTTGAATTTATAGACACAATCTTTACCGATATTTATTTTTATTCATATATAGAATCTTATATATATGTACCAAGAAATATTTTGTGAACTTCATGGTCACTGTCCTTAAGAAATGTAATCACTGAAAGGTTTCTCTTTACTTCAGAACATCTAGAGCTAGACCCTCTGTAGGATTTTAATTAGCATTGGCCATGGGCTATTTACCAAAATGGGAAGTTTGGTTCAGAGTTCAGATCCCAGGGTAGGGTTAATTTAATCATTCTTTAGAAATGCATTGGATCTTTAACCACCTTCCTTCTTGCACATTTATCAAAATGTTTTTGTGATTATAATTATTAATTGGTCCCTTTACAAAAATTATGAATTTCAAGTCTCCTTGCTTTAGGCCTCTGGTACCACTGCAGGGGTATGTTCACCACTGTTCACCAGAAATGCATTTAAAAATTCTTTTCTCGTGGACATCTATCATGAGATAAACTTGATGATAATAATGAGCATTTAACCTACTGCATGCTAAAACTGCATGTGAAATTCGTGTCTCATGGGTTAAGAAAGGTTAATAGGAGTGAGTTGATCATACAAGGGAAGAGCAAGAAGTTTTACAAAATATTTCTCTTCTACTGCACACATTGCAGATATACTGCATGCGTGATTATAATGAACGTCTACCAAGATTGTGAATTCCATATGCATCGCCTTTACGTAAGAGGATGGGGTCCGTTTATAGGCTCATGTATAGGGAAAAAAAGAAAAGAAAATAGCACATATGAAAAATGTCATGCAGATTCTAAATATACTTATTTACTTCTACAAATGAAATTGAGGGTTTATTTATTAATCACTGTGCCATTATAAGGTAATATAATATGCGTTATTTGAACAAACATCGATCATATACTTTGTGAAAATGAGGGTAAACTCGTGACGAGATGGTCGGTTGTGTCCCGGTCAAATTAAGGTCAAATTTCAAGGTCAAAGTTTTTAGAGAATCAGGAGAAAATGTTTGTAGAGAAATTTGAGAGATTAGAATACCATGTATAAAAAGATTCTTACCCACACAAGAGTGACATTGATTTCTTCTTTTGAAACAGTAGATCGTAGGTCAAGACAAAAATTTAATTGTCAATATTGGCTAAAGCTGCTGGTATATATATATATGTATTTGGTGAATTGGACAGACTTTTGATTTGAGTCATATAACATCATATAAAAGCATGAGCATGCAAGAATCACCGATCAATATTTTCAGATTTTTGCAATCAACACTGAGTTTTATCATTATATGTAAAAGGAATATTATATCAATGTTAAAAAAAAATTAATAAATCAATTATCATAGTGCTCAACACCTGAAACGTTAACGATAATTATATATTGCACTAGTTGCAAAGTTGAAGAATTTTTTTCTGGATTATCTAACATTCTTTTTCTTTAATTTCAATGAATAATCGACTGTCGTTATATCTAGTTAACATTATATCGTTATTAAACCAAAGTCGTACTAAAATATAAATTGTTGGAAACATCGATTTACTTTATCATGTTTATATGATCTGCACAATTTATTGCACTGCACTGCAGCACATTTCTCTGAATCCAAGCAAGTAGTGTCAATTTGCATTTTTCTATGACTCACAGATTTTGACTAAGCAAAGTAAATTGTTTAATGAGTCTGCGAGCCGCTTCCGCGAAGATGCAGACGTTCAGCATCGATTTTTTCCCTCAACAATCAGAAGCGGAGGCCCCGATAATGCATATATGAGATAAGTGAGTAGAAAAACACACATGGAACGACTCCATGTTTTGACTGCCTAGAAGAATTGAAGCTTCATACAAACGCCACATTGATCCGAAATTACCTGACCAGGTAAGATTGTTAACGCATATTGCATCAATACTTAGTCCACTTATTTGCAGGTGTTAATTAATGTGACGAGCTCTTTGAGGTTGTATTTATGTGTTATGTCAACTGGCATCTGTTTATCAATATTTTGCTAACTGATGTTTATACACTGGTCAGCGAAAATTGATGGAAAGGCTTTCATCATACCCCTAACTAGTGTGTCAACGTGTGATTTCCTTTGGGCATGATTTTACCTTGTGCAGTTGATAATGAGCTACAGATATAATCATGAATGAACGTGTACGTGTAGAAATGAACATTGTTTTGCTTATTTTAGCATAAACACAGATGGTCTTTCTTTAAACACTGAAGTCATTTTTATCCATATATTTTGACACAAGAGTTAAGAAATGATAATTGAATGCAGTAAGACACAACATATGTCGTAAATCAAAGAGTTAACCTTGTAATTAAATAATTCTGCAATTCAATGATAATTGGCATTGTGTTGCTGTCTTGTAAAATTTGCTAAAGCTGCGTTAAACTTGAAGTTGCAAATGAACATTCAAGAAGTTTAACATGCAGTATCAATTAAGCACCGTCAGCACATCATTTCCTTTATTGTAGCAAATTCGTTTTGTTTCATGCATTCATCAGAACTCCAGCAAAAACCATGTAATAATTAATAAATCACTTCCAATACTGTATCATATCTTAGACTTACTTTTGGTTTTCAAAGCATATATTCTGATAGTATCAGGATGGTTATTAAACAAAAATGTTAATTTTCCATCAAGGTTTAGTTTGACATCTTGTAACTCTCTTAATGTTATAATATGTGGTCAAGATCACATCCATGACAAGACGACTGGTTTCTCTTCCTTTTATATAATGCGTAACGAAATTTTCATTCAAGATCATCAGATCATCTTCGAACGATAAAAGCAACTTGGCATCAAATTCCAAATCTTTTTGTTTCCTCTATATATATGATCACGTTGATCAGTTTACTGTAATATGTTGCAGAGACACCTTTGCAAAGACCAGTAGTCAAAATTAATCATATAAATTCCACTGAGTGTAACTATTGTATCAGCCCCATGTTAATAATTTTATATCATTAATAATCGCGAATACCAACCAAAAATTGAAATTGCCAGCATGTATAACAGCAGTGATTTTTTGGGATATTTCATGTATAATGCTATTTTTTTAATATCTATATAATAGACGTAATTTCGCCACAAGTGATACGAGCTGTAAACAAAAGCGTAAAGGTTTTCAGATCATTAATAAATAGACAAGACTAATTGCACTACCAAAAGCACATACACTGTACACACATACACAGTATCTGTTTCAACATGCCATAGCATTTTAGTACTATGATGCAACTATTCCGTAACGTACACGTGTATGATAAAACGGTTCCTGTGATCAGTACACTCATGGAACCAATGTGACGACGTAGTACACACTGTTTATGTACGTAATCAAAAATTCTGGACATGGTGAAGATTACCATCAAAATATTAATTATCATTATGTACTCAACGAAAAGACACATCCAGTATACTAAATACTAATGTACATGAACAGTTTATGTTTTATAGAATATGCTTTTCTGTAATAGATATTGATTTCATTTTGGAAATTTATGAGAGACGTTAACTTAGTTGACGTTTCAATCATTCTCGAAACGTTTTGCGTTCAGTCAATTTAACATGATAAAAATCCAGAAGAATGCCTTCTTATAAACATGTCAAACAATGATGATATAATCTTCAAAAATGGACGTCCGTTTTAATCACTGTGTTTTATTGTTGATTATCTTAAGAAGTTAATGACGTCTGTGAATGTTAACAAGTAAAGCATGTGCATGTGAGCTTTTGATTTTTATTGTCTTTGCCGCGCAGAAGCTTGTTAATTTACTCCTTTCAAGATGCAATCTAAGAGGCTGGGTGACGCTATCAGACGCATTGCTGTTAAAACGTTCTTTAGGAATACATATGTAAAACCTATAGATTTTGCAGCAAAGTTGGTTCATGTCACTGATAATAATGATATAATAATCTGAATTTTACTTTTTGTCATCAGAAGTCTTGAACGATCTATTTTGCCAAGTTTTTGGTTCAGTTTAAAATCTTGAGATGTGCCAAAAAGAAGACATCGGTTCCCTATGCTTATACTCCTATATTATTTACCAGAATGCGTACTTTTCAACAGTGAACAATTGTACAATAGCAGTACTTTCTTGAAACGAAAGACAGAGGCTTTAAATACACTTATCTATAAAACCAAAGCTTTCTTGTGTAGTCATAACGATTGTTTCTGGTAAAAATTACTTCTAGTAAGTGACATATTTTTGTAATCTGCATTCAATAAAAATGGAACTCGTAAATAAACCTACCGGTAACCTTGTTGTTAGCAGACCTATTTTTGTATTTATATGAAGTAGAATTTATTCAAAAACTTCTTCATAAGAAGAAGAAAATACTTGCTCTGGCCTTCAACTCGATTTAGATATATCGACAACATATTATCAATTAACAATAGTTACTTCTATTCATATGTCTGCTCGATATATCCCAGTGAGCTTGAAATAAAATATACCACAGATTCTAATACCTGTGTTTTATATTTGGATATTTTACTAGAAAAAGACTATAATGGTAACCTAACAACAAAGCTTAATGACAAACGTGATGACTTCAATTTTTCAATCGTCAACTTCCCTTCTTATGTAGCAGTATGCCCTTATCACCTGCATATGGGGTTATAGCCCGAATAAGACTGCACAGACAGACAGATGGAAAAGGTGATTCCTATATACCCCCAGACGTCGTTTGCGAGGGGGGTTTTGTCTCCAAGTAGATTCGATACGCAAAAGAATGCTCTACGTATGAACAATTTCTAAAACAAGGCAAGCTACCGACAAACAAGTTAATGAAACAAGGATATCAACGGTTTCGTTTGAAGTAATCATTTGGCAAGTTTTATGGTCGATACAATGACCTTATCAGCAAATACAACCTATCATTAAGTCAAATGCTGACTGACGTTTTTCATACTTATTGTTATGCCATTATTTACACACTGAATTGTCTACGAAATTCCGTTTTTCCCCATCATGACAAGGAGCACACGGCGGGTGTGACCGGTCGACAGGGGATGCTCACTCCTCCATGGCACCTGATCCCACTTCTGATGTTTTTGAAGGTCCTGCTCCCGATTTGTATTGTTTAAATGGACTTTGAGCTTGAATACTGTTCGTTAATATCTCCATATTTCATACATTTAAAGAGATATTTAGGGGGGAATAAAGAACTTTAGGTCATATATAGAAATCAGGTCAAAAAAGTATTCATATTGATTAAAGATCATTAATCAAATATCAATTAGGTTACGGCTTGATTAATTTGGATGATAGGATATTTCTTTCTCCCATAAGTCTTATCTAACTTTTGAATAACGCAACCCCTGTTTGAAAGCAAAGGGTGAGATTTAAATCTCAATTTGTCATGCAGGCTTTCAATGCGTTTCTTTTTCTTCTTCTTTTCTTTTCTTTTCTTCTTTCGTGACTTAAATTGTATTCAAATAAATTTAGTGGTCAATAAGTTAAAGATTTTATCGAATCATATTAGGGGCAGTTGGATTGAATTGTTAAACATTCGGTTTCTTTGTATTACTATGTACTTGTACCCTACATACAGGTATCATTGGCAAAATGCATACTTGCCGTAAGTGTATGATTTAAACTTTAAAACCTCTTCATCACCACTAGACATTCAATTATAGCTAGAGAAAATGATTTTTTTTTTTTTTGCCTTAGCAGAAAGCATGCGATATCTCTGAAATTTAAGAGTCTGGGCAGTATTTCGAGAAACTTCCTAAAGGCATTGTCAGGTGTGAAGGCTCGGTATTTTGAAGTTATTTTGTCTTATAGTTTAAATAAAGTAAAATGAAAGAACCGATACAGTAACATTTGTGCCATGAAATTGATGTTTTGTATCAGTTGTTTTTCCTGAGAAGTTAAGAATGCAAAACTTTGACCACCGATAACAGATTCCTTGCAAGAAAACTTTGATAAAAGCTTATTTGAACATATTTTTACCTGGAATTTTCAGGTTTGGGACCGTAGACAATGGGTTACCTACTAATGCTTCCGATTATCATTTCATTTGGGCGCATTATGATTTCAACTGGGATGGGTTTTTTTTTATTTGGGCGGAGAAATAATATGATAGATTTTTTTTTTTTTTCAAACGGACGAAGAAGTGAGGATTACCTTGAGTATCATTGAGATAGAGTTGGGTACGTACAAAAATTATTTTATTGTTAATTATATTCTTCAATATATATAAGAACTGTGTATGATTTTGGCAAAGGTTTCCGTAGTAAAATCAAACTAACTATTACTCTAGGGGCTTCTATGGAAAATGTTGGACAATTTTCAGTACATATAAGTACCTTGGATTTAGTAAATTGTCAAATAACTGCATTCCTATGCTGCTATGGGAAGATGAGAAGAAAAAAGTTCAAGGTTTACTTCAGATGAAATATAAAGAAAACGAACAGTGAGCATTCTCAAAAGTATATATAAACAATACAAATTATGAGCAGATCTCTGAAAAAAGAGGTAGGATCAGGTGCCATGGAGGAGAAGGCATCGTCTGTCGACCGGTCACAACCACCGTGTGCTCCTTGTCATGATTGGGTAAACGGGGGAAAAATATAAGGTACAATGTACATTGTGAAAATAATGGCGTAACAATTTGTTTGAAAGTCGTCAGTCAACATTCGACCTAACGACAGATTGTATTTGCAAACAAGGTCATTGTATCGACCAAAGAATTTGACTTTAAACAAGATTGTTGATATCCTTATCAGCAACTTATTTGTCATTGGCCTGCCTCGTTTTAGAAATTGTTCGTACGTAGAACATACTCTGGTATCGATTCTGGTATCGATGTGATAATGGTATATTGCTACATAAATAAGGGAAGTTGACGACAGAAAAGTTTACGTCATCATGTTTAACATAAAGTTTAGTTGTCAGTTTGCCATCAATGTCATTCCCTAGGAAAACATCCAGATAGGAAGCAGATGTGTCAGACTCTGTGATGTCTTTTATTTCGAGTTCAATGTGATTATTAGATCAACGTACGATTGAAACTGAATATTGTAAACTGATAAAAATAGATAGATGTATATCTAAATGCCGAATTTAAGACTATAGTTAGAGACTTTTTCTTTTCATGTAGAAAATTTTTAATAATTTTTATTATGTATCATACGACTATAAAAACATCTAGATTTGCTAATAAAGGGGCACAATTTGTACACATGGAAATTGCAACAGATTATTAAGAGAGCTGGTATCCGAAAAATACATACATGTAGATATTGTCAATGTGAAATTCAAGTATCTCTTTGAAATCAACCTCGGAGTGTACTTGTGTGTAGAATCAAAATGTTTTTGTAACAAAATAAGTCAGCAGATGACCAATGACACGGTATGCAAGTTTACGTGTTCCATTTTCATCGAAGAAGCAGTTGTCTATGGTGCTAAAAAGTCTGTTCTTTGGTTTATTGTGGACAAGGATTTTGTAAAAGTGTTGAAAAGAAGTACGATTTAATGCTATTGTTTTTTAATATATTTTTTTATTTCAAATTTTGTAAAAAGTTCTTTGGAGTTTTTTATGTATCTACGTCTGAATAGCACCTCTTCTCGAATACTTGTACAGTACTCCTAAAGTTTCTCCTACAATAAAGAAAGAGACTAATTTGGTAGTTACTAGAAAGCTACTATGTATCTTTGATTGTAAGGATGTTTGTGAAGTTTAAGAATCCAATATAAGTATGGTAATTCAAATTCAATTTGATTGTTAGAAATATTTTTAAAATATTATAAAGCTTATATTACATTAAAAAACTATTTATGATATGTCTATGTTGAATCCTTTCATACAAGCTTTCTGGATTTTTCATTCAAGGTATTTTACAAAAATATTTTTTTAAAATTTTACTTTGTTTCTTTGTGTTTACCAATCATAAGTAAACAAAATTAACAAGCTTAGTTTAAAGTTTAACGTACAGTGATGATTGCATGCTAAAACATTTGGGGGAAATGAAGTAATTCATCTCACGCCGTCTCTAATTCACCTCTGTTTAGCCCCAATAATTGGTATCGGTCTACCTTTTTCATTTAACAAGAATTTAAAATACATAAACAATTCTTTCATTGTGTTGCAGTGTTGTACAGTCTAACTGCTTGAATTTTTTTCCATACACCATTTTTCTCAAAAAACATTCCCGAAGTGTAAAAAACATCGATATCGTAGCAAAACTGACTTGATAAACCTACCTTTCTACAATCTTTCAAGTAGCTTAGTACATTTTCATGATTTCTGGTGGATTTGTGTTTTGTTCAGGTAATTTTCTACGTAATCGTGCATTTTGAAGTGTTTTGCTGCTTTCAGATGTATACACTAGTATTTTGGAATATTTTCTAGAATAAATGAGGTAAGAATTAAAATCCGTTTATAAATATGCTGTATATATACACTGTAATTGCACAAACCAACGGGAATCTGTACGAATCGTTCCCTGCATTATCATAGGAGAGAATAGAAAGCATATTTATACATAACACTAATATATATGCCTGCATTTTTCACATACCTTTTGATATTTAGGTTCAACTGAGGTAGGGAAAAGTGCTTTGCAAATAAAAAAGATCAGTATGAAAGAATGATAAATAGAAATAATGTTTTCTTTAATTTTGAACAAGCCATATGGTGAAACAATGTATCTAGTTTCAAGATAAGGTATTATTCGGGTAAGTCGGATTCAGATGCATTCGTGCATGCTGTCATCAAGTTTATCTCTAAGATAACACATACCGTAGCAATATACGAAGACATTCTCGGAAGAACTGTCTTGCGAGATTAATTTGAACCGTGGATCAAATTTTAAAAAACGTGATTGCTAATGACAAACATGCACTTTATTCTTATCAAATCATTATTGAAGTTAATTTTAGACTTCTATAAGTACGTTCGTTCACAGAACAAATAAAAGTCTACAAGTGAAAAAAAAAGTATAAGAATGCAAATACATGTAATATTTTTTTGGTTTTCCAGTTTTGCTTTACTGGGACAAAGCTTCTTCCTTCAGTTTGGTTGACATGGCGGACAAAAAGAAAGACAAGAAAGAAAAGTCACCGGAAGACGACTATGATTTCTTTGCTCCGCATCCTCATCCAACTAAAGTACGTGTCAAGCAATCGTTCTTTGACCATGTACCCGACGCATATGAAGGGAAGTCCATATCTTTCAATGAAAGTCCCAAACGAACTCCAAAGAAAGTTGTGGAAGAGCCCAAAGAGGAAACTCCAAAAGCGGAGGAAACTCCTGCGGAATCGCCAGACAAAACACCAGTGCAAGAAACAGTGGCCCCGCCTATGAAAATGGACGTTTTGGCAGCCGATCCATGGGATACCAAAGACTCGGTAAGAGATAAACTTGCGTGTTACATTCTATATGTATAGCTATGAAATTTTCATAGTTTGGTATATTTTATCAATTTAGTGTCTTCAGTTAACACTATACCTACATGTATCTAAAAAGCGCACTCCGGTATTATAAATTTTTTGTCCGTCTTGTCAGATTTTGGGAATCCTTATGCCTAAGTAATTAATTTCATGAAATGTGTGTATTTTCGAACTGGGTAAACGCTTTGAGATATCATAAGAATTGGCGTGAAATTGATAACCTTAACTTTGCTTAGAACTACACGTACTTGGTTCTACATGTCTCAAGCTGTCAAAGAGATATTTAAAACAACATCCAAGGAGACACTCACTAATTTAATACTGTAATTCAGTAAAAATTAATGACATTTTCACAGATTCAAGAAGATAATATCACTTAATAATGGTTTTAATTAAGGTACAAAATCCCTCTGTTCACTCATACAAAATGTTGCTTTAATTAACGCTTATGCTTTTCCAAAAGAAATGCATGTACAGGTATTTGTATTTTATAAGTAAAATGCAAACAAATTCAGCATAGCTTGCGGGGTAAAAATAAGCAGAAGAGACATTTCTACTCGACAATTTTTTAAAGGAATAATAGACATTAATCCAATTCAGAGTTATCTCTCTTAGCAAAGTATCAATGAACCTTAAATTATATTTGACCTTCTTATTTTAGTAACAAATCAGGTCAATATCCTTCATTTTAAGGAAATATTTTTTTGGTCTATCATGTGATACCTACTCCTATTTAAAAAGTTTATTTTTTTTTCATTTTGCTTTAAAAGATAACTCCACATATAAAGACTATCAGATAATACTACCAAAGGTAATTTAAGAGGGGTACCTGTAAACTACTAAAAGGAAAGAACAGAAAAGAAAAAGATCAGAAACAGCATACTGTTAATGGACAAAAATTTTACTGACACTTTGAAACGTTTATTTTGAAGATTGTATACATTTGCAGCAATATGTAAGTGATTGGATTTGGTGTTATATGTAAAATACGCAATGTGCATCTTACAGCTCATCCAACTTAAGATGATAGCAGCTGCTATTATATATTTTTCTTGCCTGATCTTTGCTTGATTATCGCTTCTCTTAAAAGAAAAAAAAGAGGGGGGTATCCCCATAGATTTTAGAATGTAATAAATTCTCCTAAAAACAATACATCATGTATCCGATACGGACTTTTAACTTGAATGAAATCATATTTTAATAATAACGTTAAGGAGGGGGAAATCTCTCTCATAATAAAGAGGGAGGGGACAAAAGAGTAAAGTTCATCATTCAGGTAAATAGCGTCCCATTTACTAAAAGTTATCGCCCCTTAAAGCGTAATAATACAAACACGATAAAATGTTAAATTATTAGTGTAAATAGACAGAAATTTCATAGATAGGGATCAATAATCTGAGTTCAAATTAATTTTTTTTAAAAAACATGTTTAAGCAAAGTCTCCATCTTTGTCTATCAAGAACTGCAGCATTTTTTTTTTACACATTTTATTCGCGCTTTAATTTCCGGCGAAGTGCCCAAAAATGGTGGAAGGCAAAAAGCAAAGTTGGACGGTGAACAAAAGTTAAATAAATTTACTCGTGCTTGATTTGGTGACCTGCAACATAAAAAATATAGTCCTCTGTTCATGATATTGGCAGTACTGGAGAATAAAAATGCCGGTAATGAAGTCAATTATGAAATTATTCCATTAATGTAAGATTTTTGGATATCATTATTGTGTGTAAACACCACTGTTACATTTTAAATACATTTATTTTTAAAATTGCAATAGGGTACCGCATGTCTCTGATTGCAAAGTTATGTTTCATGAAATGCTCAGAGAAAAATCGAAAGTTTCTTTCTCTGTCCGCTTACAATGTTACATAATAAGATTAAGCAATGTAATGATAAAAATAAGTCCCAGCACACCAAGCTCTCTCCCACCTCTGGCAATACGTTTCTTTTCATAAAGCGCGTTTTCCGGATATATATTATCTGTGCCGTCTCCGGGCCTAACATGACGAATTTTATCGACCAAGCATCCATTATATTCAATGGACGATATTGACAGCAGTGTGCCGGTGATATTTTGAAGAGGCAATAACGTCATTAATATTATAATATTTTACTTAATTAACATCAGAAGCAGTGTGGCTGTGCATGAGTGTTTGATCGCATACTTGTGCCATCGCCACGCGAAACTACCTCAGAAAACATTGCACAAACTGCCAGGGCTTTACTCACTGCGGGCAATTTTAGGATCGTTTAGTCTGTTTTATGCAGCTCCTGGATTATTTATTATAAGCAATTTAGTTGTGCTTTTATGACACCGGTTTATTTAGCCAATCATTAAAATGAGTAGTCGTACTCCAGTCAAAAAAGTGCCCATTCATCTGCAGGTAAGGTTGCATTATGTAGCATTGTGGGAGACACTTGTGATAGTGATTTTGTAATGTATTATGTATGATGTACAGTACTGAATTATAAATTATAATGTATTATGTTTATATTGGTCTACACAGATGATTCGGATTTCTGGCATTTTTTGTAATGTTTCTTGTACTCAAAATTGTATTAGTAACCTGCACTATCAGTGTGCAGCTCATTTGTATGTATCATATGTGCATATGGGAAAATATGCACTTCTAAAGTTAAGAAAAATTCAAGATGACTAAACTTCATCTATTTGATCTCCACCCAAAACCTGTTTCAGTACAAAATAATATATATAACTGTTCAAGATTTCCAGTACACTGTTGTGTGTGAATTTTTAAGTGCCGAAATTTCTTTATCTAAAGCTTCACTTCCATTTTTTTAATCAGTTTCATTCGGTGACATCTGGTTTCAGTACAACAGATTGAAGGGTTATAGTTGTATATCTTTCTTAATTACAATTCTGTCAGAACTGAAAGAAAGTTCTGCTTTGTACAGTAAAGTTACATGATCCTGGCAAACAGTTGTCTAGAATTTCAAAATGTAAATGAAATGTTAGATGCATCCAAGCACTTGCAACACAGTCACTGCAGATGCAACATGCCAAAATGATAAAGAAATTCCATGCATTGTTCCAGAACTTATTTCTACAATGATAGTTTTACTTGCAATTTGTATCAGAAATAGTTCACGGTATGTATATATATGTGTTGCCAATTTGTCTTATTGTGACAGTGAAAAAAGAACAGGAAAACAGAACAGTTTGTGACATTTTTATGCATACCAGCTTGGTGTGCATTGTTATTGTACCACATGTACACAGAACAAGTGCCTGATTTTCGTGCTAATGTTGACTTGCATGTTGGCAGTGGTTATCAAGGGTAAATCTGATTAGGTACAGTTGCCCATTACTCTCACATTTTTACAACCAAAGTAAACAGAATTGATTCAGGAAACATGGCAGTCATTTGTTTCCTTTGCTTCCATGCTAAGGGCACCCCATTGTAGAAAGAAAAAAATGGAGCTATATAAAATCAATACTTGTACAGTGTTTAAAACCGTCAAACGAATCAGTTAATATATGTACTTGATTTGAATATATATATATATATATATACATATATATGTAAAGTATATAAAGATGAGCATGCACAATGTGCAGATCGGAATAAGAACTGGTTTCGCCCACATAGTTGTAAATGTTTTGTATTTCTGGAAAAGATGAATCACTGTTAGTCAAAACAAAAATTTCCCATCATGACAGAATATAATTAGATAAGGAAGTGTAAAGAAAAGAGTAATGGAAATATATTTAGAGATTTTCCTTCTGAAGTTTGTGTGAGGTTAAGATTTATTTTCAATATATGTAGGTATGTTCGTATTTATTTCAATATTATTGAAGTTGGCCTGAATAGAGGTAGTAGAGGTGTTGTAGTCATTAGACATAAACATGTACATAAAATATACATGCACTCTAATATGTACACGGATAAGAGAATTCGTTCACCTGTCTATGATGTGCATAATATACAGCTGATTGTATAATCTATAAAAGGAAGATACACACAGAAACATCTTGAATCTAGAAAATGAACTCAAAGTTATGTCCTTAACTATAATACATTATAGAACACAATACAGGGTATTTAATATCACTCTTTATTCCATTCTAACACGTGTAATCCTAGCTTTAGGTTTATCAACACCTGTTGCCATCCACCAATTTTTATCTTCCTGTTGCGGCCATTAAGTTTTCTTATAATCTTTCCGTTAGTTTACCTTAGATTTTTTTTTTTCTTAAATTTAAACAGTTCTAAAAATAAAACTTCTGTGTTCTTTTGGGGCTAAAAGCCAATATGCATTCTCTCAAGAGCTTTGCCAAAAACATTTGTAACAACAAAATGTATATCTGTCAGATGAGAAAATTTCCAGAGGTTGTATAATTGATGGGCTTGCTAATCCCTATGGTGTCTACTCTGGGGGTGAAAAAATGAGGAGGGGAAGTCCAGAACCCCCAGAAATTATCTTCATGTGTATTGCAAACTTAACATGAAACACGGGTTTCTTTGCATTCTTCCGCCAGCTTGATTCTCACATACATGACCCCAGCTTCTTTGCCAATTTATTACCCCCCCTGTGGTCAGAGAGAGGTTTATATTTCTGTTGCAATTTTCTGATGGGAAGTGTTTCATATGAGCCATGGTTTTGGTAAGGCACTCCATATATTCATTTATTGATTTTTTTTTTCACTTTGAGATATTTGTGCTGTAAGGTCAGTATTGATTTTGTGGCTAGTTTACTGTCTGGTCAACAGTAAACCGCTATGCCTTATCCTCGTCTACTATAAACAATGTAGCTATATACCAGATCAAGTTGACCTAAGTGCAGCAAGTGGTTTGTCAGTTTCTTTTAGTCAGTAACACATGTACTGATGTAGACATTTTATACATTAGTTTTATCCTGTGTATAGGTATATTAATTGTGTAATGATGCTAATTAATACATGTAGTGTTTAATGTAAGGATGCAGATGGTGCAATGTATGGTTGTCTGAAGGCTTAAATCCTTGACACTTTACAAATTTATATTATTTGCAGTCTTGCAGAAAAATATAAACAAATCAAGTCCTTCATTAGGCCAAACAAAAAAATATGTGTGGTTCCGGTTACACTTCCAAAAAAATTAGGGTAGGTAGGTAGGGAATTTTTTTTTTTTTTTAATCAAAATGATTTTCTTAATTTTTCTAAATTATACCTAATCACTGCTTTGCAAATGGCATTTAGATGTGGTGTGATAATATACTAGTCAATATTGGTAAGGGACACCTACATGCTAGCTTGCTTTGGATTTAACACTATTAAACACTAGCACTACGTTTTGCAAGGAGGCCGTCATTGCTGAAACTAAAACTTACATCGTAAACCGGAGCCATTGATGAAAATAGGGGAAAATATGAAAATTGCCAAAAAAAAAGTTTAGGGTCGGGGGTATAAAATAGGGAAGGTCGGGTAACCGGAACCACACATATTTTTTTATTTGGCCTTATGAAAAAAGGAAAATTCTTAGCAATTACTTTGAGAGAACTGTTTTATGCATATATATGCATGTAAGTGTATGCTCCTTAAAATATCATAGTCTAATGTTACCACCACCTATATGTATGCACAAGATTATGCTATACATGCTATCACATAACATCATACTTCTTAAATAACAGTGTAGAGTATGTACAATATCAATTCTCATGTCATCTTGCACTAACATTCTCTATTGTTGAGAATGCCATTTAATACTTTGATAACATTTTGTTCACTATTTTTTTAAAATGCACATTAAATTTGAATAACTTGATAAGATTGAGGCCTTGAAAGCTATTGCACAATTACATGAACATACCAGGATCTAGATCTGTTCAAGTGTTGTGAACATTTACATCTAATGCATTTGAAGGTCACATTATAGTTGTTCCTTCATAGTTAAGAGACATGTCTGAAGATATGTAAACTTTAAAACAGGCATATCCGAAATCAGTAGAGAATATAAGATCTTACCTGACGAACTCGTGCACAATGCATCATTTGTTATGACACATCATGCAAAGTTGATAAGAAAATATTGATTGGGTAAAATAAGTGTAATATTATTAAGTAAGGATTACTTAGCTAATGCATTCATTATGATTATAATCTGGTTAATGTGATCAATCAGGTACAAAATCAATTAAGATTAATGCAGTTTACAACACAGTCCTAAATGTGTGCATTTTTCGTGGGATTATGCATTATTGCCAAAGGTACATTTTCGTGAAAGCCAAAATCATTAGGTCACATATAACATTAATCAGATTGTGGTTTGATGCAGTAAGATGGTAATAATATCTCCCTAGGGAAAGTGTTACATGGGTGAGGAGGGGGGTAATTTGATTAAAGGGAGACAGATATAGTTATGGGGGGGGGGGCTTTAAAATAGAAGATTTGCAGACAATGAATAAAATGTTGCAACTGTTTTTGTAATTAACAGACAAAGATAATTGCATTTTGTGTGTTTAAATTTCTTGCTGCTTATTTTGTTATTGGAGGAAATTATGAGGTATTCCTTTTAATCTTCTCATTAGTCATTACGTATAAGTGCCACAGAAAAGATTCTCACACAGCTCAATAGATCAATGAATATTTGGTGTTGATTTTGGCATCTTTATATATAGAACACACTGGCTATTTAAATTCATACAGGTATTTAATTCCCTTCACCTGAATTGGGCCCCTCTGTATTTTGCCGGTATATGGAATAGAAACCCAGAAACTTTAAAAACCGTCCTTATCAAAAGTTCGGAATAATTTGTACCTTTTGCGGCCTAAATCATCAAAGCGTGAGAGTTTATTAAGATTCTGGGGTCTAGATCTTATACCGTGACCCAGGACTAGGGACTTAGTTCACCAGAAGAACATGGAGAATGCTGCAGAAAAACGGGTAAGAGGGGGGTGAAACTGATACCACACTAACTGCTGATATTCTTTGGGGGAAAGACTCGTGTTTGTTTTTAAAGATAATAATAAGGAAACAGGACTGTAAGCAAAACTTGTGCCCTGGAGGCTTTATTTCGTAGCTATCTAGAGTCTTGTATTGTCATGTTGACGGGAGGTGTTGTGTTGGTTTTATGGGGTGATGGCTGGCGTCAATATTTGTTTAGAGCCATTAAATGTTTTTGTACATGTTTATACCTGGTTGATAGATTGTAAAAGCTCTGCCACTTTCATGAAAAGAACTATTAGAAAAGCCACAGATCATTGTCATGAAGAATAAAATCAACAATTAGGGACTATTTTAGTTTATGTAGAAGTTGGAAATACATGTAGGTTATTTGCTAAATATTACAGATGTATGAACATTTCATTGTACTTTCATAATTATGTGTATTAGAGTTTGTGTTTTTGGAAAGGGGGAATATATGCAACTTGTATGCATGTATCTGCAAGGTCTGGTGTAGAATTGAATGTGCAAGAAATGTGAAGTGCAGCGGTAAATTACCTTTTGGTATGGTGATTTATCTGTGGCTAATGCAATCTAGCAGTAATAACATCCTAACTGATGGAGATCAGCTAGGTTATAAGCCTGCAGTGAGTGTTGCATGACATTGACAGCTTTATAAACAGGTTTTACCTCCGATTGAGCCCTCGTTGGCTTAGCTATGTAACACTATAACTCTGTAGATGGTAATGTTGATTGACAAGGTCACGGTAGGTTAGAGGGATAACACTGTTGTATTTACCTGTTTGGGGGAGGATAAACGAATGATGAGGATTATGTATTTCAGAGTGTGGCTAAAAAGCAATAGTTCATACGTGTCTTGTGTTATTCATTTCAGTATAATGAGAATTTCTACACCATGTAATACATGTACAGTGTTCATAAATATTCAATGTAGCCTAGGCAGTCCTTATAAAACTGCATGAACATCTTTGTAACATTTAAATGGCAATGATAATTTTGCTTGAAGTGAAATGAAACAGTCATTTAGTGAGTCTGAGAGTTAAGCTGTTTTCCATGTTTTTAGTTAAGTTTACTGTATACACATGTAATGATTTAGGGTAATATAACTTGTGTCACAGCTGGGAGTGTTTTTTATCTTTCTGCATAAAATTCAGATTTACTTTTAATGTGCAGGTTAAGACAAGCATGCAATCAATCAACTTTTGGGAAAATTACACTGTACAGATATATGGTAGCTGTTAACACCCCTAAATTTAACAAGATATGGCAGAAAACACACTGAGCAAAATAATTTAATTCAACATTATGAAAATGCTCATGTTTTAGTCATGTGTTCAAGTGTTGCAATCATAAGGTCTTATGCCTTACACAACAGATGGGCTTTCTATCAGGAACTGTTGAAAAGAATGCTGTAGTTTATTGATTTTGTCTGAGGCAGGAGACACTCTGTCATAATAAACCAAGGAGCTACTGAGAGGGAGGGTTGTGTATTACAGCAATAGACTGATTGCAGTGATGCATAGCCTACTGAAATAAACTGAAGTATGACTAATAAAAATGTGTAATGCCTGTACATTGGTAGTCTTGCTTATGAGAGTGAAAATTATTGATTTTATTTTCATATGAATAGCCTGAAAGTACATAGTATTTATGTTGATCAATAGCTTAAGATGAGTAAAAGGGAGATAATTCATGATTCATTTAGAGTTTTTATACTACATGTAGTAGCAAATCTTTCCTTGTTCACTGCTGCTGCAGTTTTTGTGATAATTTGAATAAACTTCATAAATTGTGGAAAATTACTCTGATGCAATAATTTTGCTTTGCATTAATATTTTGTGGACTTCTGTAATTGATTTTAAGATAATGCCTGATCATTTGCATGGCTGCAGGTCTGTTGCAGCAATGCAAATATTGATTAATATGCTGAATCACAGAAAGTCTTTACTTTTAAGGGAAAAGCACAGGTTCTAGAGCAGCCTTATTGTCTCATTGTCTACCCAAGAACATTTAATTACACAGGCACTTATTACGAAGTATGGAATGACTTATTAAGGCTCTGAGTCAGAACTGCTACAGGAAGTGGGCTAGAAATAGATTAAAATCTGTTTTTGGTCAAGAATTGTGTGGCGGAGTTATGTGCTCTTTACCGCATGTGTTCAGGAAAATCCTGAATAACTTCCCGGATTCAAATAGCGAGCATCGCTCTGTGGGGGATGGTCAGGAGATGGCTAGATCCTTAGGGGAGGATCATAAATGTGATGGGTGGATTTGCAGCTGTGATCAGCATAGAGTAAGGGTGGACTTCTGGTTTTGGTGATTTGATGAGCTTGATCGAATAATTACTGGTTAAACCTAAGCAAAAGGCATTTTGTTTTGATTTGTATTTTGCTCTATATTTGGTTTTCAAAGTGTAGCATACATTAACATGTATTATTACTTATGTAGACACTTATGAGGGGTAATATGGAAATCTATGGGATCCTTGAAAAAATGCATATTGGGTGACCCTTAGAACAAATTTATCTTGTCATTAATTTTTTAGTAAAGTTCATTTTCTATAAGCAAGTGAAATGTTACTGAGCCATTGTTTACATTGTGATGTCGTCTGATGCTCTTGTAGCATTGGTTATTAGGCTCCTTGCAAGGACAAGTGAAAAGAAATATGGAATTGGTGTCTATAGTTAAGTTTATAAGTCATGTGAAGTGGGATATGGGTTTTATCTGGTCAGATGGTCGTGTGTAGGTGGTATATGAACAAAATCTTGTCAGTATATAGACAGAATGATAATGGTTTTATTCGGTTTTCCTCTCGACCAATAAAATTTCAAGATTTTTATAAGAGGCAGGATAAATGCATATTATAGGAGGTTGTATTATGATCTGTACAACATAAAATCCAAGTGATACTTGATGTGGTTTTTGAAAATCTTCTTCTTTTTTTTAATAATTAGGTATGATACATTGACACATTTCTCTGTTTATTTGCTTTACAGAGTGCCCAGTCTCGACTGTTAATTAAGGGAGGAAAAATTATTAATGATGACCAGTCTTTTGATGCAGATATCTACATAGAAGATGGAATTATCAAGTGAGTATGAATCAATTTTACATATGTCTACTCTATCACGTATTATTGTGTTTTCCTTAATTAAAATGAAAATTTGTGTAAAATCACAGGGAGCATCTTACACGTTATAAATGACCGTATTAAACTGACAAATGATTATGTGTACATGCTTATTTTAGACAAGTTGGAACAAACCTGGTTATACCAGGTGGTGCTAGAACAATCGAAGCCAGGGGAAAACTTGTTATGCCAGGTAAGTAGAATAACTAAATAACAAGAGCAACCAAAAAAGTTTTGGTTTAAGAATGATCAAAAAAGCATTGAAAAAAAATTTTGTGTTCTAGTCTACACTTGATGATTATAGGTGGTATTGATACCCACACACATATGCAGTTACCGTTCATGGGAACACATGCAGTGGATGACTTCTATAGTGGCACTAAAGCTGCTTTGGCAGGAGGAACCACCATGATCAGTAAGATCTCAGTGAACATGTGATCATTAAATCTACAAATGTCATTAAATGTACTGTCTAGTAAAAGAAAATTAATCGCAATACATATTTGTCAAATAGAAAGTCATTTCATTATGAACATTGTAAGAAAAATAAGGAACTGTATAAATACTTTTTCTGAAACAGGAAAGCATGACAAATAGATTGCAGTAGAAAGGAAAGGGGGGGGGGGAGGGGGAGTAATATGCATACGTTGAGCATAAATCATAATTGCTTCCTTATCTTTGTGATTGCAGTTGACTTTGTTCTCGATCAGAAGGGAGTGTCACTGCTGGAGGCTTATGATAAATGGAGAGGTTGGGCGGACGGAAAGGTCTGCTGTGATTATGGACTCCATGTAGGAGTTACGTGGTGGAGCGAGCAGGTTTCCAAGGAAATGGAAACTCTCTGCTCTGAGAAAGGTAAGTTGATATATGAGGATACTAATATTTAACAAAACAGGGATTAATGATAGTCTGTAAACAGAACTAATCCACTAATGGAAGAGATTCTTTTTTTCGATGGATTAAAGATGTTTATATTTAGTTGTTTTACTAGAGTTATACACTTGTTCATAGTTTAATAATCAGCTTCTCAGTGGTATAAGAAGTTGTTTGACAAGCTCCAGACAGCATGATTATGTATAGTACAACATGCATTTGAGATATACACCTGGTAAAAACTTCCTTTTTTTCTTTTTTCAGGAATTAACTCATTTAAAATGTTTCTTGCTTACAAAGATGTTTTTATGTTGGATGACACTGAACTCTATGAGTCATTTAAACGCTGTAAAGAGTTAGGGGCACTTGGTATGGTGCATGCAGAGAATGGTCATCTCATTGCTGAGGTGAGAGTTATGTGAAGCGTAAACATGGTAAATAAGTCTCATAAGTGTCTGTTTAGGAATATTTTTATATATTTTTTTTTTATTCAGAAATCAAAAGAGATGGTAAAAATGGGAATCACAGGACCGGAAGGCCATGAAATGTGTCGCCCAGAGGAGGTATGTCACTTAGAATTATCCGTGAAATTGTTCAAAATTCCTTTATAATTAGCAAAACGTTTTGCACAACCTCTAACCCTTTAAAAATTTGCAACACATTTACCACTTAGTTAGTTCAAGTCAAGGGAAGAATATTTCTAAATCCATTTGCACACAACTCAATATTCACATCAAAAAAAAAACCAATGCTAAAAAAACTGAATGTTATGTTTAATTTGTTTTATATGCATTTCTGTGATTGCAATATTACCTTTTGGGCACTTACTAGGTGGAAGCCGAGGCCACTCAACGAGCCATCACTATAGCTAACCAGGCCAACTGTCCACTGTATGTAGTCCATGTCATGAGTAAATCCTCAGCAGATGTAGTGTCCAAGGCGAGGAGAGAAGGTAAGGTGTTCATCTTGTCAAATTATCATTGTTCAGAACTAAAATATAATATATACTGTATAAGCACATTTCCCATTTACACATTCTAAACTAAGTATTGATGAAATATTCTGATATTTAACAGAGATAGTCTTTGAAATGATGATATTTTTTTTTTAATAATTTTGATTTCTGTCTGCTTATTTCAGGTAAAATTGTTTTTGGTGAGCCCATAGCTGCTAGTCTGGGCACAGATGGAAATCATTACTGGAACAAATGCTGGAGACATGCTGCCGGGCATGTGATGGGCCCCCCTCTCAGACCCGACTCCTCAACACCAGGCTATTTAATGGATCTCTTAGCAAAGTATTCATTAAGTCATATTCTGTAGAGCCCTTTACTTTAAGGGGCAGTTAATTTTTGTTAGTTTGACTAATTGTTCATCAGACTGCCCATCCACAACTTTATTGCTCAGAATTTTTTACTTTTTAAAAGAAAGACCTTTTTTTTGGTCATCTGTAAGATCATTGCTTTATCTGAAGGTCAAATTAATAGTGAAGGTCAGATATAATTTTCACTGCTGGGGCATTCTCCTTAACAAACACACTTGTTTATCTTTAGAACTTCTTTACCATTGTGTTGCTATTCATTTCTTTATACATGTACCTTGTTCAGTCAGAAACTGAGATACACTGTGCCTAATTCTTTTATTTCAGTAATGACTTACAAGTAACAGGGACAGATAACTGTACATTCAATGCTGACCAGAAGGCCCTAGGTAAGGACGATTTCCGTCAAATCCCCAACGGAGTAAATGGTGTGGAGGACAGGATGTCCGTCATCTGGGAGAAGGGTGTGGTTAGTAGATCTACATCTCATGGATTTAAACTTTAATACATTTTCTAAATTGGACAGAACTTGCTAGGATAATAAGAACATGTATATAGAAATGTGTCGTTGATGTATCCGAGTGAAGTTTTGATGTTTTTTTTCTTTCATTTTTTCAGCATTCTGGAAAAATGGATCCATGTAGATTTGTAGCTGTAACTAGTACTAATGCAGCCAAGATATTTAATATTTATCCACAAAAGGTTTGTTTCTTTTCATTCAATTCATATAGTTTTCTACATTTACTTGTTACACCTGTATAAGATGATGGTTATTTATTGCACAGATTTCTGCTCAAATCTTCACCTCTTATTCATATTGTTTACCATACAAGTACAATAATTAGAGTACAGAATGATTTTTAACATTTATATACTTCCTGTTGCTAATTAAAGCTACATTAAAAAAAAAAAAAGCAAAACAACACTACCAGTTGATCTAACAATGGTTTGAACTTTTACTGAAAACAGGGCCGTATAGCAGTAGGATCTGATGCAGACATTGTGATCTGGGATCCCAAGGAGACTAGGACTATTTCTGCTAAAACTCATCACCAGGCCGTAGACTTTAATATATTTGAAGGAATGGTTTGTCATGGCGTCCCCTTGTATGTCATTACAAATGGAAATGTAGTATTGGATGAGGGGCAGGTAACTCAATCCACAACTTTTATTTTAAAAGTGTAAACATTTTATGACTTTTTGGCTGGTCAAAAATACATGCAATGTATGAGTTTTACAATTTTTATAAAAAAGTACTTAATTTTGTAATTATTTTCTTATCGAGAATATACGGAAACTTTAAGGGAAAAAAAATTGGATAGGGTATTGTATATGTAGACTTTGTCAATTTTTTATTTAGACTCTCGGGAAGAGTTATCTTTCTTTGACGTAATATTTTTAGTTTTGCACCCATAGCATATATTCTTCCATTTTTAATGCACTTCGGATATTTTTCTCTGGATTTCAACACTAAAATTAGGAATAGGTGGTATTTTTTTTTACTGCTGATTCAAAATAAGTGGCTGTGAGGGCATGTAGGCATCTCATTAGTTTCTGGATAATGAATTGAATGCAATATTTTATCAAGTTTATATTTAATAAATATTTCACAAGTAGATGGCAAACTGTCAGAGGAAGATCCCTGTTGTTTTTCAAGTTCATGGTCATTGTAAAGGGTACAATGTCTTGACATCGAAAAAATCTTTTTCTGGATAATATCTGGACTTCAGATTGATCTTTTGGTGGGAGTTTTTATTATTGATGCTAAAATCATAAGGATAATCCCATTGGTTTTTAGGGCAAAGATCAAGGTCTCAATTGCTGATCAAAGATGATTAATGAAAAATAAAATGCATGAAAATTAATAACAGATTGTGTGATATAAAATCAGTACAAAATTCTTACCAAGTTGAATATCAAATGTTTAATTAAGGCCAACCTCCTAAGTCAAGGTCCTCTTTGATATAGTTACATTTGAAATATTTTCTCTTGACTTTTTTAGGGGATATAGTTTTAAATTAAAAAAATTTAAGTATATTGTACCATATTCTCTTTTTTTCAAAGCTGAAAGTAACCCAGGGAATGGGGCGATTTATTCCCACTCCATGCAATTCAGAAGTGGTATATGGAAGATTAGCTAAACGAGAACTGGTAAGATTTGCAAACTGCTAAAATGGACTTTCAGAAATTGGAGAGTGTGTTGAATAGGATTTAATTATTTCATTATAATGTTAAAAATAAAGAGAAATTTGCTTAGAAGAATAATTAAGTTTTTATTCTGGTACTAGGCTAATATGCCACAGAAGGTTGAGAGAGACCCGTACACAGGTCCTGTGGCCAAGATTACCAGCAATGGTGATGCCCCTGCAGTCAAGAGGGAGGAGAACCCCATTGTTGCCGATACAAGTCAGTTCCAGCACAGCAGACCCCCTACTAGAGGTGGTGGCAGAAACTTACAAGATTCCTCTTTCGCTCTTAGTGGTAAGCCTACTAACTCACTGGTGAAATTTTGGTGTCTTTTTCCATTTAAGTGATTTTTTTCTTTGGTTTTTCAATAGATATTTGTACATTTTATTTCTTAGATACACCAGAATTTCCCTCTGGCTTTATAATTAGAAATATGCATGCTTTATGTAATTTTTCCATTTAATCTGTTGGAAGTTTTATCAGTAAATCTTTCTTGTTAGAAGGTTTGTCATTGTTTTTTACTTAGGTTAACATGTATTTGAAATATCAGATGGATAAAAAAAAAACGGAATATGCATTCCTCAATTCAGTATTTAATGGAATTAAAGTTCTTAGTAATTTAGATGTACATTTGCATTTCAAAGTAAGTGTCCTCAACTTAAACTGAAAATTGGCATGGGGTTCTTAGCATGTTCTCCACAATGGCATGAGAAAAGAACTGGTGGTGTGGGTTAACAGCATTAAATGTTGAACAGGTTGATGGGTGTTCAAATATAACAAAGATATCTGATTATAACTTAATACCCACACAGAATCTAACTTCTTAAACTGCATGATCTGTTTAACCTGTTCAAATTCCCAATACTGTAACGAAGATCTAATTTTTATACTCACATATAAGATACATGTATGTGTAATTTAATTGCTTCTGTTGTAATATCTGGATATAATTTAAAAGAGGGTAAAATGTAGAATTTTGGTTTGGCAGTGTCAACTAATAAGTTATAAAGAGCAGCTTTTGTCGCTCTAAGGTAGTAGTTTTGATGATCTCTTTTCATTATTTTCTGAGAAAATTTTTTAGAGCTTCAATCTTGAATTTTTTTTTGAACAAAGCAAGACGTGTGTTTGAATGATCAAAAGCTTGAGCAGTCATTAAAAATAATTCAGCATCTGTATTTTGACAGAGAAAAAAAAAACCCTTTCTCTTAACTATTTTCAGATATGTATATCTATAAAAGAAAATTTTTTGTTATGTAGCAATTGTCTTGTCTTTGCTGTTTTTAATTTGTGATGTCTCATACATACATAATTTTCATACAAAATGTTTGTACAGTGTATAAAATGAAATAAAATGTGGGGAATTGTGTAGGTTTTAAGGCCACCTACAAGGCTTTCTTTTATATATAATAGTTTGGTATGTAATTTAACAGGTGAGCAATTTGATGACAAGGCACCCCGTCGGGCTCAGATCAGAACATCCAATCCCCCGGGAGGGAAATCCTCTGGACTCTGGTGAGGCAACAGCCACCTAATGGTTCGTGGGGCCACTTGGAAATGTCTACATAGGGAAAAAAAGCTTTTTGTTGTCGCTTGTGAAGATATTTATACAACTGCTGAGAAATGACCTATCACCTATGGTTTAATATGTGTATTATGATTGTTTTTGTGTAAGGAGACAGTTCTAAGAGGGTCAGATTTATCAACAAGGCATAAATGGATTAAATCAGGGGTTGTAGTTAAAAAAAGGAGTGCCTTTCATAAATGGCAAATTGTTGTCCCAGCCAGAAATACAGGTGATGTTTTTTTTTCTAACATAATGACAGTGTATCTTTTATTCCTGGAGAGAGATCTGAGCAGTTGTTGTGCTAAATATCCCTGTGATACTTGCCTGGATGTCACATTTCTCATATTTTATACATTTTCAAAAAAAGTTCTGACTTTATAATATACCTTGGCTACAATTAAAATTGATTAATACTGTCTACTAAGTACATGTATTTACTTAGATATGTTGTGTGCTATTGCCATAAGTCTTTGAAGTTGATTTTTTTTTTGGGGGGGGATCACAATCAGCTGATCTCTTTTGAAATCAACTTCTGTTGGATGTTTTTCAGTTGCTATTTTTTCCTGGTATCCAGAATACATGTGAAAAAGATCTGTTTGTTGATTAAACTGTGTTCCTATTCTACTGTAGATAGATCCCTTGTGGTGATTAGTGGATGGTTTATAATTTATTCCAATCCGTTCAGTTTAAAGGCAGCCTTTCTTTTTATTCTCTATTTACATGTATATCCATTCAATAATTCTGCTGAAAAGGAGGATAACAAATCAGTTTATCATGATATTTTCAGTGCTTTGTTTATTAGTCTTTTATTTAATAGATGATTTTTATTTGTTAAATTTAAATCTGGAATCCTAGTCAGGAAAAATTTCGACAAGTTCCGTGGATGAATGTATAAAATAATTTCAATATAATTTAGAGTTACTACATGTAGGTAAATTGCATGTAAATGAAGAGAGTGGATAATTTTTAACAGTATTTTACATTCATCAAGGCTTTATAACTACGTGTATTTATTTCCTCTCCGTGTCTGCAAGTTCCGTATTATGATAGTTGTAGCACTGCCTCTAGTATGACTTGAATGTATTTTGAAATTAGCATGCAAGACTATTAATAAACAGTGGAAAGCAATTTTATGTGAATTATCTTTGTTTTATATGCATAAACGGAACAGGAGATTAAGAGCCCTTTTTAGCTCACCTGAGCCGAAGGCTCAAGTGAGCTTTTCTGATCACATTTTGTCTGTAGTCCGTCTGTCCGTCCGTCCGTCCGTCTGTAAACTTTTCACATTTTCGACTTCTTCTCAAGAACCACTGGGCCAATTTCAACCAAACTTGCCACAAAGTATCCTTGGGTGAAGGGGATTCAAGTTTGTTCAAATGAAGGGCCACGCCCTCTTTCAAGGGGAGATAATGAAGAATTAGTGAAAAATTAGTAGCATCTTTTAAAAATCTTCTTCTCAAGAACCACAAAGCCAGGGAAGATGAAACTCATGTGGAAGCATCCTCAGGTAGTGTAGATTCAAGTTTGTTCAAATTGTGACCCCCGGGGGTAGGGCGGGGCCACAGTGGAGGATCAAAGTTTTACATAGAAATATATAGGAAAAACCTTTAAAAATCTTCTTCTCAAGAACAGCAAAGCCATGATGAGTCATATTTATATGGAAGCATCCTCAGGTAGTGTAGATTCAAGTTTGTTCAAATCATGACCCCCGGGGGTAGGGCGGGGCCACAATGGAGGATCAAAGTTTTACATAGAAATATATAGGAAAAATCTTTAAAAAATCTTCTTCTCAATAACAGCAAAGCCATGATGAGTCATATTTATATGGAAGCATCCTCAGGTAGTGTAGATTCAAGTTTGTTCAAATCATGACCCCCGGGGGTAGGGCGGGGCCACAATGGAGGATCAAAGTTTTACATATAAATATATAGGAAAAACCTTTAAAAATCTTCTTCTCAAGAACAGCAAAGCCATAATGAGTCATATTAATATAGAAGCATCCTCAGGTAGTGTAGATTCAAGTTTCAAATTATGACCCCTGGGGGTAGGGCGGGGCCACAATGGAGGATCAAAGTTTTACATAGAAATATATAGGAAAAATCTTTAAAATCTTCTCAATAACAGCAAAGCCCTAATTGGTCATATTTATATGAAAGCATCCTCAGGTAGTGAAGATTCAAGTTTAAACCATGACCCCCCGGGGGTAGGGCGGGGCCACAATGGAGGATCAAAGTTTTACATAGAAATATATAGGAAAAATCTTTAAAAATCTTCTTCTCAGGAACAGCAAAGCCCTGATTGATCATATTTATGTGGAAGTATCCTCAGGTAGTGTAGATTCAAGTTTGTTCAAATCATGACCCCCGGGGGTAGGGTGGGGCCACAGTGGAGGATCAAAGTTTTACATAGAAATATATAGGAAAAACCTTTAAAAATCTTCTTCTCAAGAGCAGCAAAGCCATGATGAGTCATATTTATATGAAAGCATCCTCAGGTAGTGAAGATTCAAGTTTAAACCATGACCCCCCGGGGGTAGGGCGGGGCCACAATGGAGGATCAAAGTTTTACATAGAAATATATAGGAAAAATCTTTAAAAATCTTCTTCTCAGGAACAGCAAAGCCCTGATTGATCATATTTATGTGGAAGCATCCTCAGGTAGTGTAGATTCAAGTTTGTTCAAATCATGACCCCCGGGGGTAGGGCGGGGCCACAATGGAGGATCAAATTTTTACATAGAAATATATAGGAAAAACCTTTAAAAATCTTCTCAAGAACAGCAAAGCCATAATGAGTCATATTAATATAGAAGCATCCTCAGGTAGTGTAGATTCAAGTTTCAAATTATGACCCCTGGGGGTAGGGCGGGGCCACAATGGAGGATCAAAGTTTTACATAGAAATATATAGGAAAAATCTTTAAAATCTTCTCAATAACAGCAAAGCCCTAATTGGTCATATTTATATGAAAGCATCCTCAGGTAGTGAAGATTCAAGTTTAAACCATGACCCCCCGGGGGTAGGGCGGGGCCACAGTGGAGGATCAAAGTTTTACATAGAAATATATAGGAAAAACCTTTAAAAATCTTCTTCTCAAGAACAGCAAAGCCATGATGAGTCATATTTATATGGAAGCATCCTCAGGTAGTGTAGATTCAAGTTTGTTCAAATCATGACCCCCGGGGGTAGGGCGGGGCCACAATGGAGGATCAAAGTTTTACATAAAAATATATAGGAAAAATCTTTAAAAATCTTCTTCTCAATAACAGCAAAGCCATGATGAGTCATATTTATATGGAAGCATACTCAGGTAGTGTAGATTCAAGTTTGTTCAAATCATGACCCCCGGGGTAGGGCGGGGCCACAATGGAGGATCAAAGTTTTACATAGAAATATATAGGAAAAACATTTAAAAATCTTCTTCTCAATAACAGCAAAGCCCTAATTGGTCATATTTATATTGCAACATCCTCAGGTTGTGTAGATTCAAATTTGTCCATATCATGACCCCTGGGGGTAGGGCAGGGCCACAATGGAGGATCAAAGTTTTACATAGAAATATATAGGAAAAATCTTTAAATATCTTCTTCTCAGGAACAGCAAAGCCCTAATTGGTCATATTTATTTGGAAGCATCTTCAGGTAGTGTAGATTCAAGTTTGTTCAAATCATGACCCCCCCGGGGGTAGGGCGGGGCCACAATGGAGGATCAAAGTTTTACATAGAAATTTATAGGAAAAATCTTCTTCTCAGGAACAGCAAAGCCCTGATTGATCATATTTATGTGGAAGTATCCTCAGGTAGTGTAGATTCAAGTTTGTTCAAATCATGACCCCCGGGGTAGGGTGGGGCCACAATGGAGGATAAAAGTCTGAAATAGAAATATATAGGAAGATATGTTCTGATGAAGAACTGCAAAGCCATGATTAGTCAGTTTGATATGGAAGCATCCTCAGGTAGTGTAGATTTAAGTTTGTTAAAATGATGACCCCAGGGGATAGGGATGGGCCATAATGGGGGATCGAAAATTTTACATAGGAACATATAGGAAAATATCTTCTTCTCAAGAACTGAAAATCATGTTTAGTCATTTTGATATGGAAGCATCCTCAGGTAGTGTAAATTCAATTTTGTTCAAATGATGACCCCTGAGGGTAGGGTGGGGCCCAATAAGGGGATCGAAAGTTTTACATAGGAACACATAGAAAAAAAATTCTTCTCAAGAACAGAAAAGCTATGTTTAGTCATACTGATATGGAAGCATCCTCAGGTAGTGTAGATTCAAGTTTGTTCAAATGATGACCCCTGGGATAGGGAGGAGCCACAATGGGGGATCAAATTTTTACAGAGGAATATATTGGAATTTTTTAAAAATCTTCTCAAGTACAACAAAGCCATTTGTTAAAACATATATTGACGTGGAAGCATCATCAGGTAGTTTAAAATTCAAGCCCCCCCCCCCCCCCCCCCCCCTGGAATCTTTTCAATACTGAACTGATTTGTGCTTTTGCCTTGCCAATGTGCTCAGGTGAGCGATGTGGCCCATGGGCCTCTTGTTTCTGTTTTGCCCTGTTCATTGTTAGCGTTTTCTGTTAGAATCTCACTATTCTTACTGTAAGGTATATCATCTCAGTAGAGGAGCACGATGACTTGTCTCTACTTTTAAAGCAGTGCTTTATAGGTTGTAGTTTTATTAGCTCACCTGAGCCGAAGGCTCAAGTGAGCTTTTCTGATCGAAATTTGTCTGTTGTCTGTTGACATGGTTGTCGTTAACTTTTCACATTTTCATCTTCTTCTCAAGAACCACTGGGCTAATTTCAACCAAACTTGCCACAAAGTATCCTTGGGTAAAGGGATTCAAGTTTCTTCAAATGAAGGGCCACACCTTCTTGCAAGGGGAGATAATTATGAATTCGAGAAAAATTAATGGCATCATTTAAAAATCTTCTTCTCAAGAACCACTGTGCTTGAAAGTATGAAACTTATATGGAAGCATCCTCAGGTAGTGTAGATTCAAGTTTGTTCAAGTCTTGACCCCCAGGGGTAGGGTGGGGCCACAATGGGCGATAAAAGTTTTACATAGGAATACATAGGAAAAATCTTTAAAAATCTTCTTCTTAAGAACAGCAAAGCCATGATTGGTCAAATTTATATGGAAGCATCCTCATATAGTGTAGATTCAAGTTTGTTCCAATCGTTTAAATTTATATGGAAGCATCCTCATATAGTGTAGATTCAAGTTTGTTCCAATCATGACCCCTGGGGGTAGGGTGGGGCCACAATGGGCGATCAAAGTTTACATAGGAATAAATAGGAAAAATCTTTAAAAATCTTCTACTTAAGAACAGCAAAGCCATGATTGGTCAAATTTATATGGAAGCATCCTCAGGTAGTGTAGATTCAAGTTTGTTCAAATCATGACCCCCGGGGGTAGGGTGGGGCCACAATGGGTGATCAGAGTTTTACATAGAAATATATAGGGAACATCCTTAAAAATCTTCTCAAGAACAGCAAAGCCATGATTGGTCATATTTATGTGGAAGCATCCTCAGGTAGTGTAGATTCATGTTTGTTCAAATCATGACCCCTGGGGGTAGGGTGGGGCCTCAATGGACAATCAAAGTTTTACATAGAAATACATAGGAAAAATCTTTAAAAATGTTCTTCTCAAAAACAACAAAGCCATGATTAGTCACCTTTACATGGAAGCATCATCAGGTAATGTAGATTCAAAGTTGTACAAATCATGACCCCCCAGGAGAATGGAGGGTCCATAATAGGGGATCATAGTTATACAAAGGAAATATCAATCAAAACTTTCTCCCTAAGAACAGCAAAGCCATTATTTGTCATATTGATTCAAAAGCATCCCTATGAAGTATAGATTCAAGTTAGTTCAAATTATACCCCCCCCCCCCATCCCCCACCCACCCACCCCTGAATTTTATATTTAAACTTTTCAAGACTGAACTGATTTCTGCTTTTTCCTAGCCAGAGTGCTCAGGTGAGCGATGTGGCCCCTGGGCCTCTTGTTTTGATGTTGTAAGACCCCCCTCCCCCTTTTGAACATTAATAGGCTCAGTATTCTGAAATTTATAATATTTGACATAACAAGTATATGAATCCCAAGGTCTTG